AACCCGGCCCCACGGGGCCCTCCGGGCAGCGACCCTCGTCCTTCCTTCCACCTGATCCCTACAGCGTTTTGGCATTCCAACTTTAACACCCGTCTCCAGCTTGACCCCTGCTGCCCCGCAGGGTGAGCCGCGCGTCACCGCTCCCCTGATTTCTGAGGGGAGCCCCGCAGCCCTGCCTTAACCCTCCCTGCCAAGGCACGGGCCACGCGTGCCGCTGCGGCGGAGCCCGGCGTGACAGGGCACCGCACCCGGGGCGGGCTCCGGGCACTGCGGGGAGGCACCAGCCGGGCCGAGCCGCGGCCCCCGCGCCCGGCTGCAGCCGCGTCGGGCGGTACCTGCTCGGTGGCGCTGGGGCAGCAGGCGATGAGCGGCAGCGCCGTCAGGCAGTTCACCAGGAGGCCGCCCATGGTGATGGCGTTGGGCGCCAGCCCCCGCGGGACCTGCTCCACCAGCCAGCCCCAGTAGGGCTGCAGCCACGGCTCCAGCAGCGAGCGCCCGGCCGCGCTGTAGCGGTGCTGCTCCAGGCGCTTCAGCTGCGCCGGGCTGAGGGGCGCGGGCAGCAGCCAGGACACGGCCATGCCCACACCACCGGGACGCATGGCACCGGGGTCAAGGAGCCGCCGCCGCCGCTCGGGGCGGGGCTGAGCCGAGCCGGGGGCAGCGGCGGAAGAGGCCGACGCCCAACAGCGGCTTGGCCGGAGGGGAACGGCCGCCCCCGCCTCGGCCAACGCGCGGCGAACGCCCTCACCCCCAGCTCGGCTTTGGCTCCTTCGCCCGAGTGCCCGGCGCTGTCACGGCCCCAGCCCCGGAGCGGGCACGGCTCAGCCGGCCCCGCCTCGCCGTGTGGGGCTGGGGATGCCCGGGCGGCGGGGCAGCCCTGGGTCGGGGCGGGGTGCGGCCGGCAGGGCCCGTCCCGCCGCCTCCGCAGGCCGCGGGCGCTCAGGGCCGCTGCTGCCGCGGGGAGAGGCGGCCGTGCGCGCACCTCTCATCCCGGCCGCTCTCACCGGGACTTGCCTTGTTCGCCTTCCCTTTCACAAGTTTTATCGTGCAGATAGGGACCGCAGCAGGTGGCCAGAAGGATTTTTGCTGGAGCAAAGCATAAAGGCAGGGTTTGAGCAGCAGGTGACCTCCGTGCTGCCAGCAGGACGGGGCAGCCGTGCCTGCAGGGAGGTGGCCCCAGAGCATCACCCAAAGATTCCTCCAGCACCCATTGCCTGGGGAGTTCTGGTGTTAACATGTTATGGAGCAGCTGCACACGGTGTTGCACAGGACTTACTTCGCGTCCTTGGCTTGCTTAGAGAGGGTGCTTCAAAACAAATGTGCCTTTCGAGAAATTGTGGCACATCAAGTTATTTGAATTGGTCATGTGAAGGATTTTAGATGCATCCCTGAATCTCCAGGAAGGTGTGTGGTTTCTGGGTGAGACCAAGGAAAAGCTGTGTAGCTGAAGTAGAAAATGAAAAATACAACCTGCAATGGCATCTTCTTAGTGTTGGAAATTCTCTTTTTAAGTTACTCTGCTGTGAGCCAGAGAGTGCAGCTTTCTGACCAGACGCTGCAATTTCCTGGACAGAGCCACTTCCTGTTATTCAAAGGGAGCTGATTCACTTCAACTGATAAAGTTATTATGTTTTTGAGTAGGTTTCTTTACTGCAAGAGTCAGGAATGCTTGGGTCATGTTAAATGGTGGTTTCCAAATCCCACAATGTGCTATGGGCATTCCAAGTGCTACATCATTAATCAGCTGATTTAATTTACACTAAAAACATTATGATGCAGTAATTGTCATTGGAGGCTAAAGCAGAGGGGATAGGAACTCTTAGTAAAAGAGAAGATAACATATAACAGAGTAAAGAAAGGCTCAGTTACAGCCACCTGGAGAATGGCAAAAGGGAAATCTGACACTCACAACCGGTCAGATCCCCAGTCCACTGGAATCACTACATTTGGAAGAAGGTAAAACTCTGTTTCATTTAATATTCTGTGCATCTACGTGGTCAATGAGCATAACAGAACTGGTATTTATGGAGAGATTGCTCTTTGGATAGCTGGAGGAAAAGAGAAACTGGGGAAAGAAGTGGAGGGGAAAGTAATTGGCATAAAAAGCAAGGGCCACATTAGAGAAAAAACCAGATTCCCTACTGAATTTATCACTGGGCTTGGGGAGCTGTTTGTTTTAATTTCAAAAGTATTCATCAACAAAGCATAGAAAAAGGGAACACAGAATTTTAAGTCCAGTGTGTTTAGTCTTCTAGTGCTTCTTCAGCATTCAAGATGCAGTTCTGCTTCCAAAGCAGCAGCTTTACCTGTCAGTCAGGAAAGCAGGACATGAAAGTCAAGTGACAGTAAGTACGCTGTGCTTAAAATAGAATGCCTTTTGCTCCAGAATTTCAAAATGCAACAAAAGACACTCCTAAAGTAAGAGTCCCTTCACAATGCTCTGTAAAAGGTACCAGTATTACACTTTTCCCCCTAAAAGGAAGTTCAGGAAGCTTCAAATATTTCTTGTAAAAGGAATACTTTAAAAAATTTCTGACTCTCCATAAAGACCTTATTAACAGTATATCCCAATTTAGATAATCTTTTAAAGATTACTTGTCTCTTTTTTCTTCCTCTCCTTTATATTTGTGAGATCTTTTTCAGTAGGGGAAAAGTGTGCTGGCAGTAGCTGTGCTCTTTCAATGCAAATTGGTAACTGCAGTGCCCGTATCAGGATCCACATATACCAATTTGAGAATGGAGCTGTATTACTATATTTATATAACAAATAACCTTCCATGGGCAAAGAAAGTAAATAGAATTTCTTCTGGCTTCATTAAAAATAAACGAAAATATTTTAAATTAACTCTGATTCATCTTTGTGTGTCTATGTGTGCTTATATGTATTTGCTGTCCTCTGTTACTCCTAGGTCTCTTTCAGGTTCACAAATTACCTGGAAATACCTGTAGCTTTGGAGAAATTTCTTTGGAGCATTGTGTTACATCTTCTACAGCAAGATATTCTGTTCCCTAAGTTGCTTCTCCTGTAGGTGCTGTCTTTGGTACCTCTTTATTTTCCTAAGCTGGTATTAACTGCAGATTTCATTAGCATTTTCCTAACTCTTTGGGTTTGGTCACTATTACATCCACCAAACATCATTCCTGGAGAATGCCATAGAGCAAACTGTCATAAACCAAAACTTCACCTTCTGCTATTCTCCAGATAAGGTTCAGAAGCCTGTTTTAAATCACTGGAAATCCCTGTCCCGTCCCACGCCATCCAACCATTTCTCTGAAAGTCTGTTAACTCCTAATGCAGAGTGGTGGCTGCTTGCTGCAGTCTGGATTTAGAGCAGGTTAATGCCCCCTCCTCTGAGCACAGCCACGGCCTGTTGCCCTGTGCTTCCCTGGCATGGTGATCCCAGCCCGAGGCACGGCCAATGGCAAATGCTGGGCAATGCCAGGGGGGAGGAATTGAGGGCAGCCGAGTACAACGCTTACTGTTCACACAGGGAAAAGGAGCTTAGTTCAGCTTGTTGTTTAACAACGCTGGCATCTGGGAGAAATTAGAGTAGCTAATTCCATCCACAGAGAGCCCGCAGGAGCTGAGGTTATGCTGGCTTCCAGGTTCTTATGTGTGAGATATTAAGACTGAGGAGGGAGATAAATGTAACCTTGAAGCTGTAAACGTTATGCATACAAAGTGCAGTGGCTGTGTGCTTCATTTTTGGGCTCACTGACGAGCAGAAACTCACAATAACTGCAGCTTTTGGTGCTGAATATAACAGACTGATACTACTTTAAATGAGGGCCGTGTGCTTAAATGCTTAAATCTCTGTGGCATTTAATCAAACTGACCTTCTCCTGCAGCTTTCTGTGCTTCAAAATAGATGGAGGAAGTCTCAATTCACTAGTGAGATACAGAATAAACAGAAATTATTAATCCTGTATGAAATTCTTTTCCTAGCAGATGTGTTGCTTTCTTTCTTGTATGGGTGTGAATGAATGTGTAGGAGAGGATTGATTTTGGCAGGAGCAGGGTGAAATGCAGGTGGGGTGTGGAGGAGTGTCCAGGATCACTGGGAATGCAGAATTGCTGCCCTGCAGAGATAGCACTACAGAAGAAATCACTAAGATAAAAAGAAGAGAGAAAAAAGAATATCTATCTAGCTGTCTAGTTTTCTATCTATCTATCTGTCTATCTCTCAGAAAGAGATTTATAGAACAATGTGAGAAAATGCACTCAGATCCCCAAAGTGAAAGAAGTGGGAGCACAACTGTAAAAAACACTACTTTAGGTGTGGCAGTCCAGAGTAACACATTCTTTTATTATTGCATAATTACTGACTGCTGAATGTTTGAAAATGCGCTGACATCAAATAAACATCTTGTGATGTACTACTGGTCTAAGTAGGCCTTTATCTTTATAAACCCTAATTGGAGATCAGTCATTAGCCAGTGAGCACATAACGTGCCCTGTTTGTACAGCCAGAGTGAGAATTGGTAAATAAATGTCAGGGCAATAAGGAACTGACAACCGGGCCAAAATATGTGTGACCTTGTGTCTCTCATGTTGCAGGGTTTGCTGGAGACTCAGGGACAATCACCCCCTCTCCTAAAGAACTTGGAGATTAATGGTGCTGGAGTTGGAGAAGAAATGTAGCTGTTCTACCTTATCTCAGGTGCTTCTGCCATGCGTGGTGAACTCCATGTCTGAGTCCCTTTTCTGATGTGATTGACTACAAGAGCTCCATGAATTACTGGGGAAAGGGATTGGATCCATCATGGCTGGCATTTGTCACATTTAAAATATTGAAAAATGCACAGATAAAAAGTTGCATGTATCGGTAGCATTTATCTCCACTCACATTCTGTGTCATCTATCTTAAGGTATAAGCTCACTGGGTTAGGTGACTGCTGGAACTGCTTCCCACTCCACATGGTGGGCACAAGTTCCTGCTTTATTGTAATTGGAAATAAAGCAAGAAATGTGGTAAAATGAGACAGAAAAAAAGTAAACAAGAACTTAATAGATCTTAAACACTTCATGTTTATTGTACATTAAATAAAACAATTTCAGTTAAGTTGAGAGACCAATGGGTTGGATTTAGGAAATCAAAACTTCTATAGGAAGATATGTTCAGCTTAAATGATCATTAATTACATATGCATTAGTTACATTATAGTAAAACCATATTCTGTTAAACAATTCTCAGGTGAATAAGATACATTATCAGAGGTATGTATTCCAAGGATCTTATTGCACATCTACTGGCTAATCCATGTTCTTCCAGTCTGAGAAAGATATGCTTTGTACCACTAAGAACAGACTGACTGCCTCCTTATGCTTGTTACACAGCTTCCCCTCTTTCCTCATTAAAAAACAGAACACGATATCAAACAAAATAAAGCCGAACATTACAAAACGTGTGTTGTCTTCAGTTCATTTCATTTCAACCTCAAAGCAATCCATGCGTAATTCTTTCTTTTCAGTAAGAGCAGGTAGGGAAAACAAAAGGACAATTAAGGAAAAGAAAAAAAGTCATAAAATCCCCCACCGCACATGTTTTTCTGTTGTTGCAAGAGCTAAAATGTTGTTATTCTGCTACCAGCTTCCAGTGCAGTGGGAGGAAGTACTGTGGACGGACTCTCACTTCCCTTCAGTTTTGTCTGCCTGCACTTCACGCATATACGAGTCAATGATGTGCGGAGGCACTCCATCCATTAATAGCTTGAAGAATGAAAGCCCACCTACAAACGAGGAAAACAGGTAATCTTCAGGGTGAAGGTCCCTGGAGCAACAGCTTTGTACCTTTCATTCTCTGGCATAAGTAACAAGTTTTAGTCAGTCCCTGTTACATACTTTGAGATGTGGTAAAATTCAGCCCTGCTCAAAAGTCCAGTATGACATCTACTCATTATTTAATTGGTACTATACAGACCTTTCCTGTCCTCTTGTGCAGGGTGAATTTCATTTCTAGGGTGTCATATATTCAGTCATTTATCTCACCACATGCAATAGTTTATGATAAGCTTCACTTCAAATAACTCTCCTGGCTTTCCATCACGCTGGGTGGAGCATGGTCAGAGATGGAAGTCAGTGCAGGGGAAATAATGTAGGAAACACTGACCAGGATGAGTTGTGGAAAACATGCAGAGATATTCAATTTATTCTAGTTTTGGGTCTTAAAATGGTTTCTAGGTATTTAGCAAAATATTTACCATGTTGCTTGAAAATGACAAGTGGGATGACATCCATGAAAGAATCATGTTTTAAAAGCCAGGATTTCAGATACAGTCTCCAGAGAGAGAGATAATGAAAGCTGAAATTTTTGTCTGCTGGGAAGTCTGAGGAATCATTCTGGATTTTGTTTTAAATTCACTTAAAAATTTCACTTTTTGTTGGGGCTATTCAGCCTGGGGAAGGGAAGGCTTCAGGGAGACCTCAGAGCACCTTCCAGTACCTAAAGGGAGCTTCCAAGAGAGCTGAAGAGGGACTTTTTACAAGGGTCTATTGTGGTAGGACAAGGGGTGGTGGCTTCAGACTGGAAAAGGGTGGATGAAGTTTAGATACAGAGAAGACATTCTTCACTGAGAAAGTGGTGAGACTTTGGCACATGTTGCTCACAGTGGTTGTGGATGCCCCATGCCACTGATACAAAAGCCATGGAAATTAAACACCAGTATTTCTGTTAGTTTCATTGAAATCAGATGATGTTTGGAAGAAACAGTGGGAGAAAGACAAATATTTTGCTAAAAACTTTAGAATCTGCCCTTTCTCCAGACAAAAGGTGTAAATTGCCTTCAAGAAAGCTATATACTATTACTATTCCCTTTACAAATCTGCATGAATATTGTGTTCTGCAAGCTGCAAACCACCCACTGATAGCTGCACTTACCTTCTGAGCTTTTTCTGGAACACACCAAAAGCTTTAAAGCAAAAGTACATTGCCAGGGTGAAGATAACACTCTCTGAATGCTTCAGCTAAATGCAATTGAGCTGATACTTACATACAACATTTATGCCGAGTACAGATTTTTAAGAACTTATAACCCTTATTAACACAAGGATTATTCAATTAAAATGCTATTAGTTACTAGTGATTATGAGACTGTGCTGTCTCATTTAACATCATCATTGTGGCAGAAGTGTTCGCCCCAACCTTAGGTAGATGCACAATACAGACCAAAAGAAAAAAAAAAAGCATGCTTTTTGGCATTCTTTCAGCTTTTTGGCATTCTTTCAGCTCATGGAGTGCAAGTTGAGCTACGGATCATTCATTTTTAAAAGAAGTTAACGCTGAAATAAATATTTTTTTTTATGTAGAGGCATATTCCTAAAAAAAAAAAACAACTTGCTGTAAATACATAGTGCTCTTTTTATTACTTGCATTTTATTCATGCTAATTAATCATGCTGAGTCATGCACTGTTAAATTCCATTGAAAAATATGCACCATTAGAAGGTATGGGATGTACTACTAAGAATTACCGTAACAAGCAATTACTAAAATCTGAATTTATATGCCTTAAAACCATCATGCTGCTAACTTATAAAGACATTTTCATTAAGTGACATAATGAAAATCATGCCATACTAGGCAGACATTGTATGACGTATAAACAGACATAAGCTTCATATGCAAGAACCATATGAAAGCTTACCTTAGATGACAATATACATTCAAAAATCCTTACTGTGTAACTAAGGGAGAGAGAGAAAGAGAAGTAACAATTTAATTGCAAACACAAAAGTGGAGAGAAAATGTTGAGTGAAATTATTATTACAATTATATCAAAGTGATAATTTAATCCTTAGTCATGTAAAATATGTGGGAATAGAAGCACATGAAGAGTAAAAGGTAGGGATCCAGTTCCACTTCAAAATTATCATTAATATGTAAAAGCTAGATTAATAGGTACAAGTAACTATAAAAACCTCTAATTAGTCTCAAGTATAGATTGGAACCAAATTATATTTATGATAAAAGTTTCCAAATGTAGCTTCAAGGAAGCTAACCCATATATATATATATGTATGTACTATTTTCCACCAGGGGGAAAGAAAAAGGCACACACATAACACTGAAGCATATATATATATATGTTGAAACTCTGTAAGGCAAAATAATCAAGTACAGACTAATTGCATACCTGTGCTCTATAGTATGTACTTTGTCATATATCTGTATTTACATTACTAAAGCATGCTATTTACTCTGTAGGAGCCCTTACCTTTAATTAAACATTTTGACTCTATAAAACACCCATATATATATATAAACTTATCTATGTGTATGTCTATAAAAGCATGGAACTTTTTACCTATTGTAGCCTTTTAAGAAAAATACCCGAGTAGTTCAAAAGCTGTGGAAACATTATCCAGTTTGATCTCCTAATGTGTTTTAGGACTGAAATCATAAGTCTGGATGCATAATACATTGCAGACCAGTTTCTGGGTATCACTGTCATTTTGAAACTGCACTGTTAATATGCTGAATCTGGGCAAGGGTGCAAGGAAAGAGACATTTCTATAGAAAGAGTCAAATTTTCTGAACCCCAATGAACCTGAATGCAAAATAAGCTCTAGAAGAAATGAAGTAAAATTTTCTGCTTGTAAACAATTGAATCAAGATTTCATCCTTAAAATTGGTGGGTTAAGTTCAGGCATGGATTATCATTCTGAGCACTAATTTGTAATCAAAGAGTAATGTGCTATAAAGAATGCCTTTTAAGTGCAGCAAATGACTTTATGATACGTCTGGTCTTTCAATAATTCTACAAACTAATTGAGAGCTGGTTTATTTGAAATGCATCTTTTTTTCTCCTGGAAAGATTTAAGTGTTGTGGTCAAATATATTCACAGTCATTAAATAAATTCTTTATAGATACATGTACTTTTATTAAATATGTCTACAACCTTAGTAATTCTGATATTAAATACCCATGGTTGGATATTGTCTTGATTAATTTGGCCTTCTTTGCTCATGTGACATAGACAATGTATGCCATGAGACTCTAGCTAGTTTAATCTAAAAAAGCAAAGAAATACACACTTAGCATGCAGAAAAGTCATTTGCATGTGGAAAGAGAGGGTGGGAATGAAATGGAATGTCCAGAGGAGTACGCGCATTGTAAACCTGATTATCCCCCGCCAAGCTGAGTGGTTCTCCTGGGTTAATTACTCCATGATAGATCACTGCAGAATTAGAATATTTATAGTGGTATTTATTCGCATGTGAAATTTTTCCCAGTTGATCTTAACACCTTTTAAAAATAAAATTTCTTATACAGCAATTTTGCTATCACCAACCTATTATTAGAGGGATCACCAATCTTTATTTCGCTTCTAAAATAAAGGTTCTTCAAAGCTGTTTTTTCATGATAAAAGAAGCACAGCACCTTATCTAATTCTTTTCATTGACCTCAATGAAGCTGATAAGGAATCAGTTTTTTAGTGCTTGTAATGGGAGATGTAGAGCCAAATTTAGGGATCTACTTCAACAAACTCAAAAGATAGATACAGTATTTTTGTAATGAGATTCTGCATATGTTATTATCTTTCAATATAGAAGAGAAAGAGTAATCTATGACTTTTTGCACAAACACATTTACAAAAAAAAGCCACCAAATGTGTAATTGTACTGAGTAGGTCATGTAACTTCCATGTTTAAATTCACTCAACAAGACTTAAAACCAAAGAACAAAAGATTGTATGTCTGAAATAACATCAGTACATGAAAACCCTCTTATGAGGACAGAATAAGTTTTTATTATTTTAGTTGTGCTTATATGTGTCACTAAAATATTTTCAGGAAACAAGCATTACATTTAGCAACAACTAGGGGCATTAATTTTACACCTAAAATAGTGTAAGAAAATGATTAAAATGTAGAAAATTGTAGCATACTGATAATATTCATAGCTAGAATATTCCAATATTATGCACACTCTGAAATCCTAGGCTGTTCAGATACTTTTGGGGCTGAACATTTATATAGGCGTGGTAAATTTAAGTTCTGCAATATGTCAGAGATGGATGGCTGAAAGTAATTCTAGCCAGCATAAGGAAACATAGCTTGCTACAATAAATACTCTTGCATGGCATAGAGCTCTCTAGCATGACTTACTAGTTAGTCCAACCTACTAACTGTAGTAATAGCACCGTAGCTTGCAGGTTCACCAGATAGGCAGCAGAGCCTTGAGCCTGTTATTCAGACAACATTCAATTCTATCTCATCATCTTACAAATCCAGACTTTGGTAGTCTGACTTGCTGGAATAAAGCTGGTTTAAAGCTGTACATATGGAAACAAACAAACACACATACACACACACACACACACACACACACGCTGCAATTCATTTCCTGTGAGTCAGAAATCTGCAGGTCTCTGCTCTGCGTCAGCATGGTGAGCAGTCATCTGGGGAGCCCTCCTAAATGAACAAACAGGCTGGGAAACTTAAGAGGATGATAAATCAACATGTAAGTCAATAGAAGAGAGAAATAAAGTGTAATGATGTCTTTGTACCCTGGCTGTTTAAGAGTAATTTGCTGTATTTGCCTAGAGCAGATGCTGAGCCTATCCTGGTTTGCTAAGCTTCAGCTGCTGTGTTCACTTAGCAACATAACTTGGCTTTTCAGTACAAAAGAAATAGACAAAGTAACCTTCTTAGGTATTGAGGTCTTCTGTTATGCTGTGAAATAGAAAGTTTGCTTGTGATTAAAAAAAAGCAATCTTACTTCCAGGATGAGGACATCACCTTTTAAAGACAGTATCTTAAAAATAAAAACTAAGAAATGCATTATTCATATTTTCATTACATTATTTAAGTGTTAACTTAGCATAAATGAAACATTTATTGAAATGTCTGCTTGGTAGCAAATCTGAGCTGTAGGACAAGATACATCAGAACATACAGAAAATGGAAACTGAAATGCAAAATAAACACAATGCAATCTATAAAAATATTAAATACGGTTTTCGTTATAGACTAGCATGATGGCAGTAATGTAATTAAAGCCATAATGATGTCACCTAAATAACCTCTGAATTCCTTAGTTAGACACTTCCTGTCTTTAGGCAGCTTTCCTTACTTATAACTTCATAATAATTTTTTGAGAACCAGTTTATTCTGCAGTTGAAGCTAAGCCTTTGGCAGGAATTAGTCCATCTAAATATGACCATATCTTTTCCTAGGAAGTAATTTTCTGAAAAATGTGGTTCTGAGATTATTCACTAGTCATCCCATCCAAGTCCTGTTGCCATTCATGGTATCCCAGTTAATTCTAAACTACCTGAAATTCATAAAAAATTTCCATTAATGGAAACAAAACAAAAGAAAGCAGACAGTGTTATTTTATCCTAACAGAGCTATTGATTCAATCCAGGAACACTGAACTCCTTTTTGCACTTGCCTTGTATCCTTTCAGCTCTTCAGGCAGTGCTCAGGCAAAGAGGGTGTTTGCAATGTTTTAAAGCCCTTACCTCTTACTTCCAGTTTGCAGTCCACTTCTGCCTCTCCCAGCTCGTTGACTGCTCGGCAGGTGTAAGTGCCTCCGTCGTAGGGGCTGGGTTTGCGGATCTCCAAGGTACACACACCTTGGTTGCTGAACATCCTGTACCTTGGGTCATTCATGATGAGCACTTTGTTTTTCATCCACGTTATTTTGGGCTGTGGTGAGGGAAACAAAACAAAACAAAAAACCAACAAACGAACAACAACAAAAAAAAGAAAGCCCAAATGCACAAACCTGTGAACTGAAATATTTTATGCCCTATTTTGTGGTGTTCAGTTAAAGCTGAGTAATCAAGAAATGATAAAAAATAGATGAAGTATTGATAGAAAGGAAACTGTAAATCTTAAAGATAAGCATTGGCTGCATCATCTAGTTTTTAGCACTTTTTTTTAGTGCAGCTCTTATCACCTAATTATAGTCATAAGTACAAGCCTGTTATCAATGCAAGAACTGTGTAATGATAGCAAACATCTGATGATTAGCTTTTGACATCCAATTACTCTAAGTCAATAGGAAAAACATATTTTGCCACAGTAATTTGCACAGTCAGAAACTGTGAAGGTGAAGAGTGAACAGCACACTGGATCTCTCATTTTACTAGGCCAGTTCAGTTTCTCACACCAGAAAAAAAGATCTCAAAAAGACATGATTCAAAAGAAAGTGCAAGACACATCATGCAGTGGGTCTGAGAAACAACATGGCACCCAGAGAATTCCTGCAATGTGCTTAGAGACTAATTAGCTCTTTATAGAATAATTATGGCTTTTAGTAACAACTTTCACTGATATATTAACTGTACAGCTGTTGTCAGTGAGAGTCCCAGCAAAGCCCAGCCTTTTTCTGGGGTTCTGCCTCTTCTGAACCACTGAGTTGTCTGTGCATTAACTATTGTAGCACAGGAAAGCAGCTCCTTTATTTTCATTTTCTTTAGAACCCACACCTGTCTGTTTGACTTCAGCCTGGCTCAGGAGTTAAATGGTAAAAGTTGCATGTAATTTTCACAGTCAGGTTAAACTCTCTGGTGTTTTAAGCGCTGCTGTCAGAGCTGTGCTGTACCTTGGGGTTGCCCCGGACACTGCAGTTCAGGGTGGCATTGTAACCAGCCACAGCAAACGTGTTCACCAGGGGCTGAGTGAACAGCGGCCGCTCGCTGAAGTCAAAGTCATCATAAACGGGGTATTTGTAGACTTTACCTGTGAAGGGAAAATTAAACATTTATAAAAAAGATCATTAGCAGGTAGCTAAACACCCAAGCACATTAAATGGCTTCAGAGAGTCAGTTGTGATGTGCACTGGTTTAGGTACCAAGGTGACTCCAGTAGCTGCACTTGCAGGGGAGGCTGGAGGTGGGTCTGCACAGTGACTATAGCCCTTGATCATGCTATGGCATTGATGTCTGGGAGATTCTCTTTGTTTTCTGTGCAGGTGGTACACATAGCAATACAGGTTAATTCCGTGTCTGTGCCTGCATGCCCTGCATGCTACAGAGCAGGATGGATCCTGACCTGTGTACTGCAGGATGCCTGTCTTTGGCAAGCCTTGTTCACTCTGCTGCCAATTATTTTTTACAGTTTGTTCTGATTATAAACTGTCCCTGTGTCTGAAAATCCATTTTTCTTTCTTCAAAAGTGCAGTGACAGTTTCTGCTTCAGTGCACTGACAATACAGATACCTGAATGGATGCACTTTCTGAACAAGGAAAACACAGCAGTAAAATGTGTTTTCTCACTGCCAGTTTATCTCCACTCTGCAACGGATATTACCACCAACAAGTCCTCTTTAGCCACACATTGAGCTGGCATTTAAAGTGGCTGGACAGACAGACATCTATTCCTCTGCACAGGTGTCATTATGCAGCTTTGCTTCACTGAGAGCTGATCCAAGCTCTCATACTGACTTCTGTGCAGCTTAGGCCTGATCCTTGCTCTCATGAGAAGGGCAAGTAAGCAGTGCTGAAAAGAAATTCCTAGAGCCATTCTCTTGTTCATGACTGCAGAGTCTTTCAGCCTGGCTGTGTGGGTTGTACAGGTTGTCTGTCCTCTGCATCACGGCAGTCATGTATTCCTTCCTTTCAGGAAAACTGCTTTGATTTTCATCCTGTAAGCTATTAGTTTTTAGAATTTTCTTTCCATAGGAAAGTTTTGTGGTTTTTAAGTTTACAGTGCCATTTCCAACTGACATCTTCTGAAATGTCAGGATTTTTGACTGCAGAACCAGATTCCAGATTTTGCCTAACCCCGCCTTTAAGAGATATGAAGCAGGGGGTATGCTTTTCTGTTGCATCCTGCCTGAAGTGGAGGGAGTGCCTACACAGCTGATGCCAAGTCTCCAGAGGAGGGCAGTGACCCACTGCTTCTAACAGAGCAGCTGCTTTACTCCTCTCCTGCTCTTGTCAATGCATATGTGCAGTGGGGATGTGAGTCTGAGATCCAAGACCATAAAAAATGTCAGAACATGGGAGAAATGTCCCACTCCTGATTAAAAACAGTGGCCATAAGCTATGTGGACAAGCCAAGAGGTCTGAATAGGAAATACCCTTGCTGTCAGACCTGGCCGTGGGGCTGGGAGTGCCTCTGGATGCTTTAGAGATACGGCCTTTACCCCTAGCCACCTTCCAGCCTCCGAGCACCCCCCTCCCCCTTGATGAGGCATGGGTGATTAACTAACCATCCTTTGCAATCAGAGCACTCTCTTTGGTCATGGTTGCATCCTCGCTGAGGCCGCACATGTTCTCAGCAAAGACCCTGAAGTAGTACTCGTTGCCTATGACCAGCTCGTTGATGGTGGCGCTGGTGCGGTGGTAGTGCTCGATCACGGTGAACCACTCCTGAAAGGCACAGACACACAGGGTGAGCTCTCCCCAGCACCCTCTGCTGCCCACACATCCACTGGAAGGATCATCGAGCTCCTTGGGAGCAGGTTCTTGCTTGAAGAGAATGCAGCTAACAATAATTAATAGTGAAATGAGTGATGACGGCAGTGCAGCAGAGCTCTGCTGAGCAGCCAAGGCTGAATGGAAGGTGATCCCTACTGAATGGTTACACTGGCAGCTGGAAGGGTTCATTTTAGGGACTGCAGTCTTACAAAGGTTGTGTTGTGTGAGCAAGGCAGGCTCCCTCATTCCTAATCCACACTGCTGACAGAGAAAGTACAGTTGCAGATAACAAAACGGCATTCCCGTGGGGAAGGCAGCAGCATGTGTTGTTCTGCAGTAATACGCACTCACAAGAGGCTGCTGCACTAATCTGTCCTCTCTATCACAGGCTGAGTCTTCATGAGAAATGTATTTCTATGTTTGCGGTCCTCTGATACCTAAAGGCCAAGATGGGCAAGTGGGTTTTAGTGCTTTAGTCTTGCTGCAGTAACAGGACATGTGAATTCTGTCCTATTACACAATACCTAAACAACAATCTGAGATGAAGGAGGTTAATGCTAAAAATGCAATTAATATAAAGTGCAATATGACCACAGAAATGTTTTTGCTTTTCTTTACTCTGCCCTAAATAGTTTTCTTGCTTTTCTGAAGATGAACTTGTGCTGAGTTCCCTGTACCACAGTTTGCATTCATATTTGACCCAAGTTCCTTTGGGAAAACAGTTTTTTTGTAGAAGACCAGCTGTGCCAGGATTGCAAAATCCACCACCACAGATACGGTGAGGAAAGTGACCTGAATGATCCATTTCACACTGAAGCCTAGATGCTGCTTGCTGTTGTTACTTTCTCCTTATTACAATAATATAGAGGAGACATTGTTCTGGTCACTGTACCAGAGATCATATCTTCTTACAGTCTCAAGAGAATGAGAGAAGAGAAGAGAAAAAAAAGAAAAAAAAATAAAAAAAAAGTAGGATGGGAAGGAAAATATTGCCATTAGAAGAAGGAAGAATGAGTTGAACAGACCATGATGGAGATCAACATGTTAATGTGGGGGATAGGAGAGGACAGCAAAAGATTTTCTTGGAGAATGCAGCTCTCTAAATATTGCCCTAGATTTCCAGAGTTTAGATTTGCAGTAAATGTTAAACCTGAGAATCTGTCTTAAGAAAGTGCTATACTTTTGTCAGTACAGTTTAAATTTTTTTTTTGTTACAATTTTTGTCAGTTTATTGAAAATAATAAATATTTCTGTATTGCACTTTTCATCTGTAAATCTCAGAGTGGTTACAGAAGTACCTGTGTACTGCTTTGCTGTGGGTAGCAAGGAGTGGCAATGAATTACACAGTGTGACATTGCAGGTTTGAAAACAGCAGCAATGGAACACTTTTGTTCTGGTAGCAGCCTACTGAATTCAGAATTAATATTTTAAGGTTTTATTTTGTCTCCTGAGGCAAAGGAAAAATGCAGAATTACTTCTCTCAAATCCACCCATCCTTCCCATTTTTAGTCCTCTTCTTTGGAATAGTTCTAATTCTAGACTTAGTGCAGAAGAGATTTTTAGAGCTTTTAGAGGGTCCTGTAGAGATTTTTTGAATGCTGATAAATCAGTGCTTTATTCACCTACATCCTTTTAAGCATGCAAAGTTTTTGTTTTTAAAAGGGAGAATTCATGAGTACATCCAGATTTTAAACATCTCCTTATTACTTACCATACTTTTCTTATCTGCTTTTTGAATAGTGTACCCAGTAATGGCAGCATTGCCATCATCTTTTGGTGGCTTCCATGATAAATTCACATTCTCTCCCCAGACATCCTCAATAGTCACAACCTCTGGTGGGCCTGGGCGATCTGCAACAAAAATATGATATATTCTACTGTTTGCTTTCTCTTTTTCCCACACACATCTTCCAATTAGTTTGATTCCCTCTCTTTCTTACAAAAAAAAAAAAAAAGTCAAAAGAAAGATGTGATTGCAAAATAAAACTTTCCAAAGTGAAGGCATGTCAGAATGATAATAAACTTAATAAAGTTGTGCTGCCAGTTTTGCCTATTATGTAAAGAATGGATGGTAAAAATGAAAAATAAATGTGTTTTCTTGTCTGTCTTTCCTACCTTTCCTACTTTCAGCATTTATGATTTCTTCCACACTGCATTTGTGACAAACTTACTATGAATTTTCTACCATTACTGTCTATGGGTACCATTCAACAGGAAAAATCTTGGATCCTGGATAGACAAGAACCTGAGGGGCTTAACAGAGAAAAAAAGAGACTGACACATTCCAACAACGCTATGGTGTATGGAGGTTTCCTGAGAGACACCAAATCTACAGCCAAGTAATTGAACATGGAGAGATATCCAAGAAAGACGTGAGCATTCCCATTTTCCTGTAGCCTTGGAACAGCTAGATTTATTTCTGTTTCTCCAAACATACCAACGATCTGAATGTCTATCGTGGCTTTGTCCACCAGGTTCTCCACCTCCACTTTCATGTCGTACTCTCCGGAGTGGCCCCGCTCTGCCTTCCGGATGAAGATGATGGTGTCCTGCTCCGTGTTGCGGATGTTGATGTCGTTCTTGTCGATTGGAGAACCGTTCTTCTCCCATGACACTTTCGCCCTTGGTTTTCCCTGCAAGGAGCCAGGAAACAATTTTTGTATGATTTTTTTGGAGAGAAAAAGGAAGAGAAGGAAGCAGGTTTAATTACCATTTTTACCAAACAGGAAGTGTCCTAGGTTACAATATAAAAATGTATTCCATTCCCATCCTCAAGAGTTGCTGAAACCAGGAGGGGCATTGGGTTTTTTTTTCCTTATCTCCTGTTAATGGGCCCATCAATGCCTTGCCACATGACTCAGAGACAACTCCCTCCAGGAGCCATTTCTGTTTAATGGGCAATCAAGGACCCACCACACAACTCATAGAATGATATCAGCCCATTGTGAGATGCTCTGCCCAGGGGGGAGGAGCTAAGCATCCTCACCTGGATATAATCTGGGTTTGGGACAGAGCAGTCAGTCTTTCCACTGCATTCTCAGAGGAATAACTGTCTTTTCCACTGGATCTTCAGAGGACGACTACACCCTTTCTACAGGATCCCTGCTCCAAGAGAACCACATCTGCCCCTCCAGGACTGCAGCCACCAATCCAACTGGACTGCTCAACCAACACCCTGACCAACAGGATGTCAGGTTGTGTTCTGACTAAAACTACTGACTTTTCTTTTGTATTACTGCATGTATTTTGGTTTTCTTTTCCCTTTTCCTAATAAATTGTATTTCTGACTTGGCATCTCTCACTGGTTTTGCTTTCAAACCAGAACAGGAAGTAAAAACTCTCCTGAAAGGAACAGAATTATTTTAAGAATTATACACCATTTAGAGATGCAATCATACCCATTCACCTAAAATGTAACTTTCTTTCCTTTTTTTTTTTTTTTTTGCTCAGGAGACTGAAAATATTTGCAATTTCTCACTATATTGGATTATTATCTCTCTAGCTAAATTGAGAAATAATTTCCAGTTTTCTGAAAGAAAAGGAGAAAAAATAACCCATAGAAAATATAGAACAAAGTATTTCACTCACTGGAAATGCTTAACATTCTCTACATTGCCAGTGAAAGAGGAAAGTAATAGATTCAACATCCAAGGATTCTAAACTCTCTTCTTTCATTGCAAAAGAAGTTGTAATAGCTGCTAGGAAGGCTGGATTGATCTCTTTTGTGTGCCATTTTTTGTGTGTCTAAGTGCCCAATATAGGTACTTAAAGTAGAGTGAATTTCACCTGCTTTGCTGTGGGATTTGCTTTCCACAGGCAAACAGTTTGCAGATGCTGTCTGAAAAGGATAATCTCACACCATTTTCATCACCTTATCTTAGAAAATAACCATAAAATATTATTTTAATTTCTCAAGAGAAATATATCTTGCAGTGTATTGCTGATCAAGCTTTTATGAGGCTTTTAACAGCCTCTGTGAAGCTGAGTTATGCCCATCTAGTATCTTAAAATGTGCAGACAAGAAATAGAAATGAATTCTGCCATAATTCTTTTGTTGAGAAGAAGGACCTTGCAAGGAGAGAAGCTGGTGCTGTTTAAAAGGTTTAGGAATGAGGGTTAACACTTGCTGTGGGAAAACATGCTGCATATTTTAGAAATAGTCATATTACAGTTGTGATCTCAAGGATTTAACATCTGCAGTCTGCCTGCTCTTCCCCTCACTTTTCCTCTCTCATGACAAGGAAGTTATTAAATGCTACTGTTCCACTCTTCATACCCATATTTAACTGCTTCCGGTGCAACCCCTTTGCCTTGTGCAATTGTCTCATGTGCAATGTCTGCTGTGAAAATTTGTAAATGTCCTTTGGATGACAGATGACCAATCAGTCTGTCTGAGCAAGTTACCCAATTCATTGCTTGGCTGAACATAATTTGTTTGAGATATTGAACCAAAAGCTCTCAAGCACCTCTTCAGAGTACTTCCACATGTGCTTCAGTTAGCTGACTGGCCAAAGTTACTGAGAAATCAGTTAAAAAGCAGAAGTATGATTAAAAAAAAAAAAGAAAGAAAGGTAAAAGGAATTTTCCTGTCAGTATTTTCAGCTCTTACCTGGAAAGGAATAACAAGATTCACAGTTTCTCCAACTCTTCGAGTATAGGTTTGTTTTAAGTGTCTTGGTAGACGAATCTTTGGAGGTTCTGAACAAAACAAAAGCTTGTGTTAAGCACTTCTCTTCTAACTGAGGCAGCACTGGTGTGCATCAGTATAAAAAGGAGACAGTGTGGTCTAAAATTCCCAGAAGTGACTAATAAGTGAGGTGTCTGAAATCTCTTGGTCCCCCAGTCTTGCATTCAGGACACCATCAGCTTTTATAACACCAAATGCTACAATGGTAGGACTAGGTGGGAAGCTTAGAGGAACTTTAAAAAGTACCATCAGGATCAAGTTCTGCAGAAAATTGCCCTGAAAAACTGAGAAATAAAGGCTCAGAAATGAAACAAAATTATGAATTATTCAAAGATGGTTTCATGATTTCTAGCCACCACACAATGGCTTTGTAAGGCCATATCATCAGTTAACAATAACAAGTAAATATTAGCTTTAAAAACCCCCAGGGTGTATTTGTTGGTAAGTGTAGGCAGCAGGATCTTACCTATCACTTCCTCAATAACAAGTAAATATTAGCCTTAAAAACCCCCAGGTATTAGTATGGAAACCGTGTGTATTTGTGGGTAAGTGTAGGCAGCAGGATCTTACCTATCACTTCCTTGACTAAAATAGGCTGTGGGTGGTACTTGGGCTCACTTTCTCCAGCAGCATTCACAGCTTTTACTCTCACAAGGATTTTCGAGCCAGTCGGAAGGCCATTGATGGTAAACTTTGTTTTGTCTGTCAGCTCTGGGTTAGCCACGATCCATTCATCAGCTGGTTTAGGGAAGTGAGGGGAGGAGGACAAATCCAAAGAACAGGGAATTATAAATAGATCCACAGCATGGACGAGGAAAATTACAGAACAGTAATAGATTTTTTAGATTCTAATGAATAATTCTATTTTGTTTTTCTAATTATGATGTAACACAATGTAGATTCATTTTCATAAGTAAGAAGAGTGTTTCAAACCCTAGAGACTTTCTGCTGATTATGTATTTGTACATTCATACATTTATATATATTTCTATAATTATATGAATGTTATTAGAATATCTCTATAATTTAAGTGTACCAGTGACAAAAATGTTTAGATTTTTAAATTCAGCTAGAATAAAACAAGGGGGACAAAGAATATATTTGCAAAGGCACTGATCATTGCTTTAACAGCTTCCTTGAAGAGAAATGGGTTTTGCAATTAATTTCAACCAGTACTGAGTACCTTTGAAAGTATAACTGAGAAATAAAGGAAACACAGAATGTTTACATTGCAGTGAAATGCCATCTCTCCTCATGCCTTTAAAAAAAGGAAGGCTGTGTCAGAATTATTCACATAATTACAGCATTCTTGGATTTTTAATCCTACCCCCAGGTGGTCGCACGAAATTCATGGAGTGATCATAAGAGTACAGTCTTTCAAACAGCTTCCATTACAAACCATACTTTCTTATCCTCCCAGCACAGCCTGCCCTAACACTGCTGGCTCCTGGGCACAGGAGCCAGGTTTATGAACTAGCAAGCAGGATCAATACTTCCCACATCATGTAAAGCCAGCACTATGAAATGGGCACAGAAGACAGAGAACTGTTATGAATGGAGAGCCCTGCAGAGCTAGAGCGTAGTGCTGTGGCACCTTTTCATAACTGAGTGTCTTAATTCTAGGAATTAAGTTTTCCTTCAAGCAGAAAAGGATTTCAATCAATGTCTGTTTCCCAAGTATCTCCTCCTCCCCTTACACTTATACTACAGAAAATTCCATAGTTCCACTGTTGCCCCTAAAATTCACTGTTAGGAATTTATCTTTACTTTTATGAAGAGAGTTTTTCTTTCATTAAAGAAGACTTATATCCTTTGTGGAATACTGTACCTTCCAGGTTAAAAGGTGGCTCCCCCAATTCGTCAGAGAGATCTGTCGATATACCTTGAGAGAATCCATCTTTAAAATTAATCAGAGACACCCACTTTCACACAGATGGAGCATTTTGTCAGTGGTTAGCAATTCCTGTTAGTAAGTATGCAAAGATAGATGCTGGGCTTTACAGATTTAGAGAACCCATATTTAGGGAGACTGCAGGGAGAAAAGAGATGGAAAGAGGGGATCTAGATCACAGAACAATTATATGTGATGCCCACAGGAAAGATAGAGGATGAAAGAAGAGAAGGATATAAAGTTCTTTGAATTTTTTGGGCCCAGAATAGCCCTAGAAATATGAAAAGAAAGAGACGAAAGAACACTTGGAAGAGAGAAATGAAACAAAATGATGATGAGAAAAAGTGTAGAAGGAGAAGAAAACACATTGTAGAAGAGATAAGAAAATGAGAGATAAATTCTGAGTAAGAGACAGAAAGAAAGAGATCTTGGAAAAAAACTTGGAGGAAACAGGAAGAGAACACATTTAGCTAAGGGTAACATAGATAGAAGATTAAAGAAGACCAGACCCATGGATGATGACAGATATAATGTAAACCCTAAGGCTTTATTTCCTGAACAAAGTTATCACTGTCCTGGATTTCCTGTAATCCTGGAGCTGGCTATTTTCAGGATAATAAAAATACTATTCTAGTATTTTTGCATGGTCCTGGATGAGCAAAGGTCTCAGCCAACAGAAACTCTCTGAAGCACTTATTTACTGGCTATAAAAACAGATCATCTGCAGGTACAACAGCCTGTTACAAGCAGATAAACATACTGTCATGAGGAGCACTCAGGCTGTGCTCCCCAGGCTGCCCTCCAAATGCTCCACAAGAACCAGTCAGCAGCACACTTTACTAGGGACTGACTCCTATGTCAGCAGGATTTGGTCTGCTTCACATCTCCACAGCAAGAGGGCCAAAGTTGGATATTGCAAACTAGGCCTGGGGAGTTCTCTCTCTCTCTCTCTCTATATATATATATACAATTATATTCTATATTCATGTTATTCACAGCTATGCAATGCTGAATCAGGATAGTCATGATGACACTCCAGTTCAGTAACATGCATGGAGTGGTACATAGTGAAGGACTCCAAGAATCCACCATGCTGATCAAGTTATGTTGTTCTGACTAAAGGGAAATACCAGTTTTGCAAAGCCAAAACGACGTTTATGATATTCTAAATTATCTATATGTATATTTTGTCTTCCTATTGTCAGCTTGTGATTTCTCCTAATGATTGCAATGTTAAGGAAGACTCTAAAAAGCCCTCTTGAAAACTACTTCAGTGACAACAATGAAAGAATGGAGAATGTAAATACAGATGAGTTTACAAACAGATAACTAAGAGAAAAAAGGAGCAGAATGAATATAGACAGTCATAAAAAGTATCTTGAAATTAAAAAGAGTTATTAAACATTACAGAAGAAAATTAGTTTGAGGCAGAACAGGGCTGAGAAAAAAGAGGCACTAAGATATTGCAAGAAAGGTAAAAACAAGTGAACAGAGAGAAAAAGATGAGTAATCCAATAACATGACTTTTAAAATTGGTATTTTAAAATTGGTATTTTAAAATTGGCATTTTCTACTTATCTTGCTTCTTCCTAAGCATTTTCATAACATATATACATAATGTCAATTGTGTATATATAGATGTATATGCATATATAGGAGGTATATATATATATATATACATAAACACTCAAAACTATGTAAAATACATTGTACCCATTGTATTTTAACTGAGGTGGGTAACAGTAAAATGACAGACTTGGCTGCCATTTTGTTGTATCTTCATGTGTTTAAAACCTATCTGGAAAAAAAGTAAAGAATTTGTTCCATTTAACAAGTATACAATGTTCTTCTGTCCAACAGCCCTTTAAAGTCAGATTTAGAAGATTGCTTTTCAAAGCCATACTTTGAATTAACCTGTCTGTATTTCTCATCCTTTGTTATCACTTGATTTGGATATCACATACTCTAATGTCAAGGACTTTTAACTTTCCCTTCCATTCTACCCAATACTACACAAAGCATAATATACAGCATACACTGAAGTCCTCACATTGACAATCCCCTTAATATTCCCCTACACCTGGCCTGTGCAGAGGAAGCAAAGTAAGAACACTGTGTCCTGATGGAAGACTGCATGCTTACTCACTCTGAGCTGTTCCCGCAGCTCCCTCCCAATACACAAGGAAAACCCTTCCTACCATTCCAGCTGTGTCTGCCTTCTGGTACTCTCCTCCGGGTCTCAGAGCTTCTTGCAGTCCTGCTCCTTAAAGATATTCATCTCAACACTACAAGATGCTGAGTGCTCCTGAGAAAAGCCAGTGGTGGTTCTTCACAGCCTCTCCCACTTGCCTGAGAGAGACCTGAGTGCACTCTGATGCCGTGGCACCTGACCACGTTTATGACCTACTGTTTTCCTGGATTTCCTGAATCTGAAACATGTGACAGCATGAATGACACGTTCTGTCCTCTACCTTTTGTCTCCAGGCTACAGACTGTGTTAATGAAAAGCTTTCATTGAGATAAATGCCTTAGTGAACAAAGGTGTTCAACCTCTTGCTTGATTTACTGCACAGTTAAGAGCAACAGCAGTGGAGCTGAAGATAACTGTGTGCCCTTCATCCACGTCCACAACATTGCTGCAGTTGGTGTTGTTGGTCCACAGAGGCTGGGTATTGCACATACCACTCTAGGCTATTTGATACTTACCCGGCTGCTGGTGGATTTGACTTTTTGAAAATAGGCTTCAAAATAGGCCAGTTCAGAAGAAAATCTGCTGGAAAATACTAAGTTCCTGCTGCTTGATCACCAAAAGACTCTTAGTTGTAAAATATAGTTTATATTTCCCTGTTCCTTCTTATTTTACTCTAAAAAGTTAATTCAGTCTCTTTATCTTCCTCCTTCAGTTCTTATATATTTTTGTCTTAGATTGACATAATTAAAGATTCCCAAAACTGCACTGAAATGTTGGAGAAATTAAATATCTAGACATGGACTTGCATGCCTAGATGAATTCTGCAGGAACTATTGGAGAGGCTGTTCTCAGTGTTGGCAGCTGGCACTTGAAGTTGGTAATTGGTCAACATAGGGATTACCACACTGCAGATCTCCTGTCCCTAAAACCCAGCCAACCTGAACATATTTTGGGCCACACTTGTAGCCATTATTTCCTATGCCTTCATCCACCAATGAACTCTTCACTGCCCTAACTCTCATTTAGCATCTGAAAGAGGGGAGTTATTAGCATGGTACTTGGTACATTACAACAGATTACATAGATTCTGATTTGGATTTCAAATCAAGTGAAAGCTATGTTGAACCACAGTGGGTGGCATCTGGAATACAAACCAGAGGAAGCCTGAACAAAACCCTGCTCCTTGAGGTTTTCTGCCTGATTAGTCTCTGCCTGACAGCCAGAGCACCTGATACCTGCAGAGAAAAAATGGAGAAAGTCTCACCCACTTTCACTGTGAGTCAGGTACCCCAGGTGTTCTCACTTACTTCCTTCAAAGCAGTATTCCACCACGTAGCCGTCCAGCCCTGCCGCCCCAATCTGGTCTGGGGGCCTCCACTTCATTGTCACCGAGGTGTCGGTCACGCTGTCCACTGCCAGCAGAGTTGGGGGGCTGGTAACAGCTGAAGGAGTCAGGGAGAAGGCAGAACACTGTTATTACCATGCGAGGTTTATGTTTATGGTCTGTGTTTCTCTGGTTTGGTATCACAGGTGACAGGCTATCCTGCCCACCAGGATGATTTTCCACCATCCCTGGCATGTCTTCACCAGTTAGGACCACGCTAGGAGAAGGCAGCTACCTCATCCCATACATGCTCACATCCTGAGCCAGAGACAAATTCCTCCTGCTGAGGAGCGAGAAGGACAAGCAGCTGTGGCTGGTAAGCAGAGAAGTTGGGAGCAGTGTATTCCACCTCAGCAGGTATGTCCTGGCTGTGTCACAGCTCTGCTGGAGCTGTAACAGCCCCCTCCTTCCTCCTCCTCTGCATTCTGGGGGTGCTGCTGAGCAAGGGAGAAATCTTTGCTGATCTACAGAAAAAGACACCTTTCTTTTACAGGGACTCGTGGTTGTCACAATAGTTTGAAAATCTGTTTCTTTATATGAAAAGGCCACTCAGCCTGTCACTGTGGGAATGGCAAAGCCTTCTAGCTGTCACACTAATAAAAAATTATATAATTAGGTGATTGTAATAACATATTAATGGCTATTTTGTAAATGCACAGCTATCTCTGCTTTTGGTTACTTACCTAAAGGAACAAAGGACTTGGAAGGCATGCTTGGCTTGGACATGCCGATGGCATTGACAGCAAACACACGGACCTCATAAGCAACACCTTCAATCATTTTCTTTGGCTCAAAAGTTGTTTCCTTACACAGTTCAAAATTCAGCCTCATCCACCTGGAGCTTTGTTTCTTTTTCCTCTCAATGAAATATCCTTTTGACCAGAAAAGATTTTATCATAATAAGTGATGGCATAAAGGTCAGTAATACAAGGTTTATTTTTTGACTACCCAGTGACAGTTTTTTTACCAGGATACACCTCAATATTCCCTTCTAGCTTCAGAGTGATATTTTTCCTCATTGCAAGCTATCTGAGAGTCACCAATCTTCTTTCATAGCCATATAAGAGCTTTTTTTGGACTTAGAAGACTGTTATGTTTAGTTCAGAATGAAAAGGGCCTGGTTCTACTGACCTCTGGGCCCCTCTAGATTTCTTCTTGGTTGGGTATATTAAAAGATATTCCATTTTACTCAGTAAATTGTTTCTGAAATTTCTTCTAACACAAACAGGATAATAAAAATGCCAAGTTTGGTTTTATAAGAGGTTGTCTTTCAAGTAGGGAACATGATAATATAACAAGATAGAAAATGACAAATCTCAAAGCATTAGAAAAAAGAGATGTTTGATAAAGTCAGAATAGGTAGAACTTTGTAGCTACTGGATATTCCCAGCACCATTTTCCAGGGCCTGAGCTATACTCTGATCCTGTTGCATCCACTATTTGGTGTTTGCTTCTTTTGTTTGTATTAGAGTCACCACCAAAAAAAGTATGTACCTAGAATGGGTGATCCACCATCATTTGCTGGAGGTTCCCAGGTCATAATACACCAGTCTTCACCCACCTCAGTCACATTTGGTGCCTGAGGAGGATCAGGAACATCTGTTGTAACAAAGTAAATATTATTTTTAAAAAAATCTTTTGCCATAAGTTGAAATTAAAAATGTCAAGTAAGAAACAAATCTAAATAGTTTTTGAGGTGTAAAAGGAATTCCTAATGAGGAGAGAGAGCAGGGAAAATGAAATTTAGTGGATCCTGGCTGGTGGTTAGGAATGGATGAATGCCAAGGTCTTCTGCATGATCGAGACACTTGAGAGGCTCTCGGGAACATGTGCCAAGACAGGGCCCACAGCCACAGGGAGAGTGGAGAACCGGGAGGGATAAGGACAGCCTAAGGCAATCAGAGAAGTTTGGCCCCTGGCAGCAGCAATAATCAACTCCTACTTAAATCCCTTCCAAGCTCCTACTCCCTTCAGTAACACCCAGCCTTATTACCCTTGCATCCCAATTCCACACCTGGCAGTGGGGAAAACCAGGAAAATGGGAGTTTCCCAAGACTCTACCCCAGTGATAAAAGACATGGCTCATGGGCTCTGTTTCACATGACTTACCAACCACTTTAATGTTGATTAGGGCTGTGTCCTCTCCAGCCTCGTTCTTTAAGGTGATTCTGAAAGGACCCGAGTCCTCCCTCTCAGCTGCATCAATGACCAGGCAGCTGCTGTCTGGGTACGATTCTGCCCGAATTCTTCCACTGTCTGTGACCATCTAGGAACCACAGAGAGCAGAGGAAAAGGTCATATTTACTGGATTTGAGAATCAAAATACTCAAAAATCAAAAGTAGTCACTTCAACAAAAGCTGTAAAAAAGCTCCACACCAAACGTCAGCATTTTAGTCACCTAATGATGAGAAAAATGACAAAATAACCAAAATAAGTAAAACTTGGTAATTGTTTACTACTCAATTAAGCCATTGCATCACAAAGGATGAGTCACTAGGCTTCTCTTTCAGGGTAGAACACACTTTTGCCACCACATATCATTAATTTGATGGAAAAAGAATAGCTGATTCTTCCAAAAGGCAGATTCACTTTAAACTCAGAGTGGTTGTGTCAGTAGTTTCTCCTCACAGATTTCAAATGCTGTCACATATTTTGGAGTAGGAGCTCTCCATAATAATTCCCTGTTTGGACAGGACCACAGTGGTGACACTACAATTAATATTTGAAAAATAGTGGTCACAGATTGGACAATATAGGTTTGATGAATGCACTAGTGGTAAAATGTCCCAGCTTCTACATTGTACAATGAAAATTTAAATGTGAAAAACTATTATTTTTTGTATTTACACAGCCAGGAATTGATCTAAGCAAAAGTTCTTCTTTAAGACACTAGATGCAAGACCCCAATTGCCCAGCCTATTGTTTCATTTGAGACTTGAACTCTATTGAAATTTATCATTCATTTTCCAAAACAAGACCATATCATGGCTTACTGCCAAAACCTGGCAGCCATTCTGGGCATTGAATGTATAGAAGAAGTAGCCGTTTGGTAAATTTTCACAACTTTTCTTCTGCATCCAATATATCCTTCTCCTCTACTATTTTTTATAGTGAACCCATATTTTTTTTCCTTATTAATTTCAAGCTTTATTTAAAAAGACCCAAAAGATATGAAATAATATTTATCTGTTTTACCCTTCTTTTCTGAGCAATGAGCAATTTTAAATACAAGGCATCTCCCCCTTATTTTCTGCCATTAAAATAAATAAAAGGCTAAAGATTATTTTTTTGAAGAAAAAGCCTCCTGGTTAAGCTAAAGAAACATCTACAGTGACAACGTACCTTGTCCCCTCTACTCCAAAAGACTTTTGGAGGTGGTTCACCAGTGATGGGGATCTCAAGTCGTAGTTTGTTTCCTGCCACTACTGTCACAGTGTTGTTTTCCCCAAGACCATCCAGGTGAAGTTTAGGAGGATCTGAAAAAGGAGAGATTGTCCAAGTTAGACACGTAGCTGCTGCTCTGAGAGCTCAGTGACCTGGCACAGATCTGCAACACACAGAAACATGGTCTATGTTTTATTTTCTTGGTGTTTTTAAGCAACTGAATTTTGTTTTAAAGAAAAGTTGTGAAGAAAAATCTATTTAAGAAAATAGTTGCCTGATGAAAAAGAAATCATGGCATCATAGGCAGTTTGGAATAAAAATGCCATATGAAAAAACACACAACTGTTTCCCTGAGGCAGAATTATGTACGCTCAGGTAACTTCTGAGAGCCTCTAAGTGGCTCTTGAGAATTTTAGTTGTGAGCTTTTTTATGGCACATTTAACCACACTTCAGCCTTCACTGTCCTTACAGTTTAAAAATTTGTAAACCCTAATCCTTTTCTGAAAACAAACTTATTGCTTTTGTTATACACTGTGTGTATGGAGAACAACTGATTAATGTCCTCTTGCAACTTTTTTTAACATATTAAAAATATAACCATTTGCATCATTCCCCTCTAGTAGCACTTCCTTTTTTGTTCTCTCTAAATCCCACCAACACTTTTTGTAATATAGATATCCCACATCTCCCAGTTTCAATTAAAAAAACATGTTTTCTAAAACTTTGGTCATTTATATTGCTCTCCTCTTGACTTCCAAGTTGCTGGTTGCAGCCAGATGCTGGTGAGGCATTGCTGTGGGAATAGTCAATGCCCTGTTTTATTTTTGTTTGAAGGACTGGGATCACTAACAAGGCTCCTGCTTTTCTGAATGAATCAAAGCTGGGCAGAACAACTTTTTCCCTCTAGATAGCATTTAATGTTTTTAATGAATAGGTAAATGTTAGTTATTTTTATATATTTAGTGCTTATTCTACTCCTCTCTTATCAAAACACATTTTGCAATGTTAACAAGCCAATTCTTAAAGACAGCAGTGTATGTATATATATATATATATATCTGAGAAGCAGGTTTTTACACAAACTCTTCATAGTGGTTTAGCTTTAGGAGCTCAGCCTCAAGAAGCCTCCCCCAGGAGCTCCCCCCAGCACATAAACTATGAGCAGATCCTGAGCACAGGCAAAGCACCCTCCAGCAGCTCAACTGCACTTTGCCAAAGCTGCAGGTCTGTTTTCTCTGGTGGATGCCTGCTCAGAGGATACAAAGTGGTTGTGGTCAGGGGATTTCACACAGCTTTTAATTTACAGAGGTCACAGAAATATGTTCTGTGCAGGTCACTGTGCAGTCTACTTACCCACAATATGTACTTTGCATGGAATATTGATGTTGTAGGCATCTGGCACAAACATGTATTCACCCTCATCATCAACAGCAGAAACTGGTATAACAAATCTGTGGATTCTGTAAAAGAATTGAGAAAGAAGTCTGTGTAAATTATGTTTGAAGACTGCTTGAAGCTATAAGGAAAAGTCTGTGAAAATTTTAGGAGATCTGTGAAAGTGAGTAAAATTACTGACTAAAAATCCTTTACTTGTTTCTTAGTGTTAGTTTAGTTGATTAAATACTGTGTGCTTTGTACAAAATATTACTGAGACAACTAACAAATAAAGTAACCAATTCTAATACTGTTTGTTTGAACACGGAACAAGAAAAATACAGGAGTGTAATCTCTTTTTCGCAGGGATTCTATGCTGCTGTCATTCAACTGCAATTTGGTTGTTCAAGAAAAAATCTCTAGATGATCCCATTGTGGGAATATTCTGACTTTTGTTGGACCTTCTTTGTGAGTTGATACAAACAGGAGCTATGGGAAAAAGAGGCATAGAAAAGAAGATAAAAGGAATTGTATATTTTTACAATGTCTAGCAATAATTTTCTTTTTCTACTTAATATTCCATACCAACAGCAACAGTAATGGCAAGAAAAATCAACAGCTTGAACTTAGGTGGATCCAGGATTTGATTATTGTCCTCCACAGCCAAAATGCACAAAATAAGATTACAAAATAAGATTAAAGGAAGCAAGGAGACATGGCTTTTAAAATGACAAATAAATATGTCTTGAGGGACAGAGGTTAGACTTGATCAGCAGATAATTTTTAGTGAGATAACCCACATACTGGCACAACTCCACAGTGCCATTCCACCAAAAGCCACATCAATACCCAACAGGCTCACCTTCCTTTGTGATAAAGCTTTACACGGTCACTAGCTTCAATCAGCTGCCCGTTTTTGTACCATTTCCCTTCCACATTCTCAGATATCTCACACTTCAAGTGGATTTCCTGTCCCAGCCTCACAGTCTGGTCTTCTAGTGCAAGTGATATCTTCAGAGGTCTCACTTAGGAACACAGAAGCAGATGCATTAAAGATGATGGAGCTCAGTAACCATGGGGGGGTAGTTTCCAAGTTAATGATAAAACAGCATGAATTGGTCAGGGTGCCAATTTGTACAAAATAGTCAAGAATGGCGTGAGTATTACAAATAAAAATGTACATTTATGCATGATAATAATTGCATAATTATTCTAGATAACTTCAGGGCATGGATCAGATAAATTTTGTTTAAAGACCCAAGCACTTTAAAGAGATACTGCACAAACAAAGCTGAGAGGACTACACAGTCATGTGCTTGGGCCTAGGTTTGGCTTTCCTGTGAAAACCTCAAAGGACTGAAGAAAAGCAGATACTTCCCTTGAAAATTCACTTTGTTGGCCTGTTGTACCTTTGGATGGATTGCTTTGTTTTCCATATTAATGGTGTGACAGGAAGTTAACAAGCAGAACTAGTTCAAGGCATGCTGCTGGAAATAGGTTCTAAAGGGAAGTCACCATTCTGGAGATTCACAACAAAAAAATTGCTATGGAAGTTAAGTCTCCTTTTCAGTCCCCAGGGAAAGGCAAGAAAATTGTTAATTTCTGTGTGCCAGCACACTGTGGCATATGAATTTGAGAACAAGGTGGATGATACTCACAGTCAACTGAAAGCTTGGCTTCTGATTGCCCTCCAGTTGTCATTACTGAGTAAGTTGCAGTATCATTTTTGGCAGCTTCCTCTATGACCAAAGTGTGTTTTTTACCCTCAACCTTAATTCGATACCGAGATTTAGGATCGTTGGAAAGTTCTACGCCATTTCTAAACCTAATGGAAAGGAAAAAATTTTTATTTTTCAAAAGGAAATCCTGTGCAAGGAAGACTTCCATAGATTGAAACTCCCAGAGGAGACTTTACAAGAGTGTAAGGCACTAGAAAAGATTAAACAAACTCATCCATGAATGTATAAGGGTATTTTTTGTGTTGCTACACTTTTGAATAAGGCTTTATTGAGATTTTCTTAACAATTTTCAGGTTTACTGGTTTAGGAAAAGCTGCCCACATTTTTGCCCACGATTAGAAGGTTCTGGGTTTTATTTTCATGGAAGCTGTTCAAAGCATGTCTTACCATTTCACATTTGCATCATCCTCAGACACTTCACAGCTCAGCTCTACTCGTTCACCAACATAGGTGCTGGTGTCCTCCAGGCCTTTGGTCACCAAAATTGGAGGATCTTTGGAAAGAAGAAATTACATATTTACAATCTGAGAGGGAAAACCAAGCAAAAGAGATTTTCTAAATCATGCTGTAGAAGGCAGTATTGTTCAAGTTCTTTCAAGTTCTAATATGAGTATCAGTGCAGCCTTTTCTGCCTTAAATCAGAGAAGTTGTTACTGTTTAAAATGCTAGTAGGAAATTTGCTCAATAAAAGGAACATTTCTTCATATTAATACCTGTTTTGCTTTGGTAATCAACACCATAGTAGCAAAGAGAGTGAAGATACGGCCTCCCATTCGTAAATGTTGTTAAAATCTTCCCTCAAGTCAGTGCAAATGGAATGAAACCTGGCTCCCAGAAAGCCTGATCTGAGGGCACTTGGGCAATATCAGAGTCCTCAGGTACCAAGTGTGGTGTTAGGAGAAGCCAGAGCTACAACACACAGGTCTCCAAAATGGCTTAAAATTTTGAAGGGCACCACAGCCCCACTGGATCCAATGCACAACACCAAGTTGAGTGTATCCCCATTTCAGGGTTTTCACTAAGCTGCTAACTACAGGATGAGAAAAAAAAAAGGCCAGGGATCACAGAAATGCCAAGTGATCCTAACAGCTGCTAATGCAAATTCTAAAATACACCAAACCAGATCCTCCCTGATTATTTCTGTTGCAGCCAAAGAAGCCACACAAATGTAGGGCAGGTGAAACAGCATCGAGCTGACACAGTTACCTCTCACAAACAGTTCTGTGGAGCATTTCTCATCACCAGCTGTTACGTAATAGCGAGCATCGTCCGTCATCGTGCAGTTATTGATGAATAAAATTCGCTGGTTTCCTTTGTGCTCAAAAATGTATCTGTTTGGGTAGGAATGCAGCAAAGACACATTAGCAAAACTTCTGGACCCCTTTTGTTTTATGTAGAAAGTGCTGTCGGGATTTTTAGAGGCAAAAATATGGGGCTTTACAAAGTACTGAGAAAATTGTTCTTGGAAGCAATTTCCAAGTTTCAACAGAGATGTCATGGACTTCTAGCAAAAAAAAGAGCTGTAGTGTAGAGTGACAATGAGCTGTTTCTGGCTTGTTCCAAGATTCCAGGTCTGGGTGATATGAAAAGAAGAAATTAAAAAAACAAACAAAAAAAAAGAAGCTGGAGTCAAATGATGGCAAATAAAATGGAGTCTGAAACTCTAGATGAGTAAAGCTGAAAATAACCAGTAAGAGGACACCATCACTCATTCCAACATTTTTGTGAAGTGTAATAATAGCCAAAGTTAAGAGGTTAATATTATTGGTAGGCCAGATGGCACAAGATATCAGTAATGGGATATGGGGTTTTGGTAATGGGATAGGGAGCCTTTCACCTTTATGTCACCAGTTTAGATCTGCTCCAGGTTTGTAATGACCAAAGCTCATTAGCATCTGACAGCTGCTTCAGCTGCCTGGTGGAAATGCACTGGAGCACTCATCCAGCCCCTCCTGCTGGGGAGGTCCATAAAGCTGCCTGCAGAGCACCACTGAATTGATCATGCCAGATATAGGGGCTAAAGAAAAGGTTACTCTTATCCATTTTTTTGTCAAACATTAATTTTAACCGAAATCCTTTCCTGATTTCAACAGAATGAAGGAAATCTGCCTCATTTCTGTAAAAAGGCTTTTTTTAAATCACTATATTTTTTAACTCATCAGAGGAAAAATTGTCTAGGACTTTGTGCTGCTGGGAAACTTTTGAGAAACATTATATTGTTATGCACATCTTCCCCAGGTGTGTCTGCCTGAGGAATGGGGTTTTCTGCACTGGGTTGTAAGAGCTGGTTGTGCCCATGAGAAGGACTGGGCTCAACTTCCAGGCACTGGTCTACATGAACTCCAATGTCTGCACCTGCATTCTAGGAAAAGCCAGAAAATAAACCAATGTTCAGGTGGGACAGGTGAAGAGGCTTGTGTGCACCAGACCTGTTGCTCATGACTGATGTTAACAGAGTAGTGGAAGATGAGACAAAACTCACACCCCTTTTTCCTGGGGTTTATGAGCCAGCTGGGTAAGTTTGTGATGTAAATTCTCTGCTCTTAGCACAAAATTACTGTAGAAAGATTGTGTCCACCTCCAGACACAGGAACAAGGACAAGTGATTTATTTAGTGGCAGTGCTTCCTCATTTTTGAAAACTACTGAGTAGAAAATGGCACCACATTTTTTTGAGGGCCTCTAGAACTTTTGTCTTGAGACAAAGGAGACAATCTATATTATGTTTAGCCTACGGTGTACTTTTCTGGGTCCTGAGCCACTCTTCACATCTCATGAAATTCAGGAGTAAAATTGGTGCAGCCTGAGCAAAGAGTTGGGTCTAGGCAACACAATTGTCAAGGCAGTAGATGTGTATCCATTTTATTGCTCACATATCATCAAATCACTTACTTTGCACTTGGTCGTATTTCTTGGCCATTTTTATACCACTTGAGCTCCACTGTTGGATCTGCTAGCTCCACCATGAATCTTACTTTACCTCCTTTGTCCACCTGGTATGCAGGATCGAGGCCTTTGGCAAAAGCTGTTGTGGAAGTCAAGTGTTATTTGAACATGAGATCAGGAAACAAGAATATGGATGCTGAAATGACATTGCATAAGTCTCATCAAAACTGTCAGAATATATGCACACAATGTTATGCATCACAGATAAGATATTCTCACACTGGTCTGCATGGAATCATCTAGAAACAATAGAATAAGCACAAAGCTGTGCATATCTGGTTACCCTGACCAAGATCAAGCTGGCATCTCTTCAAGACTTTGCAGTGTGACTGTATTCCAAATAGGACCAGCTAGATGCATGAAATAAAACACATAAATAAAAATGAATGTGTAGTACTATATGTTATGACCTGAGGTAATGGATGAGGAGAGAGGGTGTGTCAAGCATCTGGATTACAGCTGGATTTGTGGAGGACTTCACCCACATATAAGGGACACCTCCAGGAAACCAGTGACACAGGAAATGTATATACTGCATCCAGCTCTGAAATGCTGTCCAGCAACAAGCAGATGCCACAACAGTATAATGGGCAGTGCATTGCATTTGTATGTGTGTGCAAACATGTTCTGTGGCATATACATGTATATACACACGTATATATATATTTCTGTATGTAATTACATCTCTCATACTATTCAGTAGGGTTGATGGGGAAAGAGAGTCCTAAATGTCCTCACCCAGTGCAGGGTGGAGGGTCTGTGGTACAGCTGGGATTTCTGAGCAATGGAGCTAAGTGCAAAACGAGATTATGAAGAACAAACACTGCATGTGTTTGGAGTGACCTCTGTTTAGAGCAGGAGATATTGATGGTAACACAAGATCTAGTTTCTGTATTGTTTGATCAGGTAACACCTTTCCACACACCTGGGGGACATTGTTCCAGATGGAATCAGTGTTTGTCTGAGAGGGAGGGATGCTTTAGGTAAGCACTGACTTGGATAAGGTGTTTATACTTCCACCATGGACCAAATCTTCCTTGTGATTAACTCCTTGCAGGAACAAGTTGTAGTGTGAAGTTCCCTTGTGTGGAAGTGAGGCGTATTTGTGTTTTTAAGGTGAATGGTTGTGTGTGACCAACGAGCACAGGAAAGCTCTGCCCCCTCAGTACCTGCGCTCTTCTTCACCTCCCTGCGCATGCGCTTCAGCCGCTTCAGCATCCCCCTCAGGTCGGTGATGCCGTACTGGAAAGCGATCTTCTCGTACTCGCTGGGATTCGCGTTCTTCAGCAGATCCCACACGTCCACCTCGGGCTCTTCCTCCTGCTGCTTCACCTCCCTGACGTTAGCAAAATAAAGTTATGGGGGAAGAGTTAGCGAGGCTTTATCACGCCATAAAAAATGTGTGAAGCTGAGTCTATGGTGAGGCTAGAAATGTTTTGACCAAAATTTGAAGGCTGCCATCATATCTTTTTTGTTTAATTCAGTATGAGTGGAGTAGCTCAGAATGACATTCACTCCTTACTTTACACTTCTTCAAGGCAGAATTTGAATGCAAGTTTTAATTTGTCCTTTTCTGATACAATCAGTTAAGAGAATTTTTATATTGCTTCAATGCTTCAAAAAAAACCAGTTTGAAAATGTAATAGATACAGGCTAATCCCACTTAAATCAGTTTTATCTGCTCTAACTTGAGTGAAATCAATCACAATTTATGATGGCACCACTGAGTCTAACCTGTGCTTTTCAAAATCATATAAAAATGTTTTCAAATCCTGAGTCCCTGTAATTGCTACTGTGGGTGACTGGTGACAGGACATTGAAATGCAGGGGAGTTTGTGTCTGTTTATAGTTACACCAGTGCTCCTCAGCATTACTTAAAGTTGTCAAATGAATAGGAACTGGAGATTTCCACACCAACTTGGACTTGAAGGATGGATCTGTTCACTTCCATGTGTATCTCAGTCTTAAGAGCAGGAAATTTGTTCAGAAGCCTGTGTGAGGAATCACCTTTACACAGAAGTTTCAGTACTGTATTTACTATCTGCAACTCCAGGCTAAGACAACCAATAAAGAGAAGTATAATTATTTTCTCAAGGCCAGCCGTTAAATGATAGAACAATGAAAGCATCCTAAACAAAATTATATTTTTTATGATTGACAATTTAGCTCAAAAAAATGGACTGCTAGAACAATACTGGAATTGAGGAAGAAATCTAGATTTTTTCCTCCTGTAATATCATTAGGATCAGACCAGGATCATTCCAATTTGACTTAGCTTGTCTAACAAAATCAGTACTTTTGAGAACAGAGCAAGAAAATAAACTTTTGAGAAAGAAAAAAGTACCAAGTTTTGCAGTGAGGCACTGTTAGAGCTGAGCTTTATGGAGTCAAAGAGAGGTTTTTCTTTGACATATACAGAAATAGCACTAAAATTCCCTGAGAATCTCTGCACAGTTGGATGAGGAACCATGGAAACTACTTTGCTGATTAGTCCATGAAGTTTATTAATTGTCATAATATATCTGTAATTTTAAAAAGGAAGAGAGGTTCTGCCTGAGTAGTCTTTCAAATAGAATAAATCTGAGTCAGCAATGTCTGACTGAGGGTACATAATTTTATAATTTGTTCCTTTTATCCATGCTCCCACTTTCTGGAGGGTGACTGCACAGCGAGTGCTGTCCTTTCAGTGAGATCCCTTCTGCATGGGGGCAGGTGGAGACCAGCCCTCAAACACCTGTAAAAGCTGAGCCCCTGGAGCAGCTCTGTCCTCTCCCAGGACTGCTGCTCACAGGCAGCGTCTGCCCACGCCAAGGGGATGTGCACTCTGGGGGAATCCAAACAAAGCTCCCCTTTAAACCAGGCAGAGGTTGAGAATGAGGATCCTGATTTTCAACCAGACTGGAAGACTCAATTTCAGGCTCGTTTTCATCTTGCATAACTGGAAAATGAATTTTGATGCTTAGAGCAAGTCAACTTTGTTCTGAGACCTCAGTAGTTTGAGCTGAGGCCAGAGGCCAAACAGAGTGTGGTATTTCAGACTGACCTCTGACCTTGCCACTTTTAGATCTCCTTCCTAAATATGTGCATTTTATTGCAAAATGTACTTGGAAAAAACCCCTGAAAAACAAACAAACAAACAAAAAACCCAAACCAAAACAACAAAAAAAACCTACCAAAAGAAAAAAACCCCAAAAAACCACCACCAACAAAAACAAAAAACTAAAAAAACCCAAAACAAACAAACAAACAAACAAAAAACCCAAACCAAAACAACAAAAAAAACCTACCAAAAGAAAAAAACCCCAAAAAACCACCACCAACAAAAACAAAAAACACCCACAAAACAACACCCCCAAAACCAAAAAAACCAAGAAAATAAGGACTTAAATATTTCAGTGCTTTTTAGATCTTGTGCCTCTTGGAATGTCATGCTGCTACTGGTCCACTGCATTGACAAAGAATATCCAGTCATAGTGTGGCTTACTGAGATAAGACTTGATACGTCTGCCTGCCAACCAGCAGAAAATTAGAAAATAGACAGTATATTGATTGTATGCATTTAAGTTTGTTTTTTTTTTAAAAAAAAAACATGTTTCAAATAGTATGAACCAAAAGGGAAAAGTTCTAGGTCTTTCCTTGGTCATACAACCATTAAAAAAAGAGAAAAAATGCACCTCCAACATTGCCTGTTGTAAAAATTGAAATAAAGCCATGGATTTGTCTTTGTGGTAATGGATGTTAATATCCACACGCATGGATATTAATATCCACACTGTGGCTTAATTAATAATTTTATTCAATTAAGCTCAGAAATATGAGGTTGCATTTCAGGGCCTGAAGCAAGGTGAACCAATTTGACCAAAGTCAAATAATGGTGTCTAAAAACTAAATATTTGCTTTATCCATAAAACACACAATAGATATTCCATGTTTATAAGGCTGTACAGTATTTGTCTTAGAAATCTTAAGAGTTAATTGTTAGTAAAGTTATATAATGTCTCTTAAATCACATTTATCGTTCCACAAAAACCAAGAACTCTCACATGCATCTCTCATGTTACTATGGAAACACCACACAGGATGTCATGAGGACTGGCATGGCAAGTTTGATTAGTAGGATGAAAAGACAAACTGAAGGTCCTAATTAGGGATGAGAAGATTGAAAAAGCAAAGACCTGGTGGATTGGAATTGGTCCAGGTAATTCTTTGTCTACTTTCAGCTTCAGCTTTTCCTGTGTGCTTTAGTTGCTTAAATGCTATTCTTGCCCTTGTAGCCAATGAGCCCTTTGTGACCTTTTAATGTAATTAATACTACAGATTTTCCTCTTTCAGAGTAAGTGGTAGATGAGATAAAGGATGTAATTCCTTTTCCAGTTCTCTGTGATCAGCTGTCATTGATTTCCATGGCATATAGAATTTCTCTGCTTGATTTTAAAAGATGATGAATGAACTATCTTGTCTTAACCCAGTGAAATACTAAACTGGGTTTAAGATCTGAGATAACTAGAGACATAACTATCATAATACCAGATTTTCAAGGCACATCAGAGAAACATGTACCCCAGTTGTTTTCCATCAAAACATTTGAGTTAAATAAAACATGACTGAGCATTTGTGTGTACATATTAAAAAAGTGACAAAGAATTATACCAATATTTATGACTTGAAAGCATGATATATGATTTTTCAACATCAGGATGCTTATAAAATCAAGTGAGGATGTACCCATAAAGATAAATTTAACCATTATGTTTTTTTTAGTGTTGCACCAGAATCAATTTTCTGTACTGCTCATCCCTGTGTAGGAAATGTCCCCCCTCTGCCTTCCATGCAAACACAAAAAAAAATAGCAAGTGAACTAAATGTTATTGGCCTCTTCAGGCTGAGGCTCACTTCTTTTCCCAGCACACTCAGATCTGAGGTTTCTTTTCTGCACACTTAAGGTAAAAATAAGAGAACATTTGCATATTATACTATGAGAATAAAAACCAGTTAGAAACATCAAAAAGTTGAAAGGTCACAAAATCCTCAAGGAGTTATTAATGCTACACCTGACTGTTTCTGTGGGAGAACCTAATGGTTTGCAATCCACACCTGCTCACTGCATCACTTGGTTCTCACCTACGTTTCAGGAGACCACTAAAGTCAAGTTCTCCTGCATCCTCTTGTCCTTCACCGCTGTTATTAACAGAAAAAGATCAAATCTTTGTTTAATACAGGAAGACTTAGACAACACTCATTGCAAATGCTCTACTTCTCATACACTCAACACTATCCAGAAACACAAATAATTGTATAAAATCAACACAAACTTGTATGCTTTTTCACACGGGTTATGTTTCTGTAGGCACTTGTGAAAAATTACACAATGGTTTGTATTGCTTCTTCTTATACTCTGGTGGCAAATTTTTGTAACTGAGTACATAAATTTGCCAAGGTTTGTGTTAGATTTCAGTAACACAAACAAATGGCAGCTAGTCAACACAACCAGCTTTGTTTTTCGTTTCTCTAGTGGACAAAACAAAGGGCTTGTGCTGATCTCTTGCTGTGAAATCAAAACAAAGATTTGCATTGCTGGGTGATGCTTTTAACAATGCATAGCTCTGTCAAATACTGATTGAAAAGTACTTAACCTTCAAGATTTTACCTTTCTCTAAATGAAGGGAGAAAACAGTTATAAAAAAGAATAAAAGAGCACATTGTCCATTTTTACAGTCCTATCAAGGTGCATTTCTTTCTATGATGCGATCTTTAGCAGAATTACCTTATCATAGAGCACATAGACAAAAGAAATGTCCTAAATATTTGTAAAAAGGCAAAAATAGTGCAAATCTTAACTGAAATGAAGCCAGTGTTCAATCAAGATTTTACATGGAAGATATTACTTAGAAAATCAGAAAATACTGAGATATCTTCATCTGCTTGGACAGAGTAGTTACTGCATTTTTTAAAATGTGCTAAAGAAGGAAATGCACCTTTAATGTAATATCTTTTGTATTTTTCTTTAAATTAAAGCCTCTAAATAAAATCAGTTATCTCTGGATAACAAGCTTTACTTGTAAATTAACAAACTGCATTCACTATCTGTTATAAAGTATTTTCATTCTACATATTTTTCATATATTTCATCACAAAAAGATGACACCTATACTGGTTAGAATTGCTACTTTATCAGAAAAGGAACAAACTTTAAGACACAATGCTTTATCTTACATTCTCTGTACATTTACTGTTTTTCCTTACTGATGGTATTTACTGTTTACTTTAAGGTAACAAAGCCAGATCCTGTCTTCTTGAAATCAGTGTGAATTTTCTCTCTGCTTTTAATCAGTGCAGGACTGGGACCAGGAACTTTCATATTGTGGCTGACAGTTTTCAGGAAACATGCAGTAGAATATTTTAGTGAATGAAAATACATTTTTAAAAACCTCCAAAGAAACATATATTTAATTCACTTAAATATTCAATCTTCCTTTAAATTACTGACACTTGTAATTTCCCAGTAGGGGTATTGATATCATATGTACTATCTATGTGCTGTAACTCTTTCATTCTAACTACCACCAATTACTCAAAATCCCATTTCTTTATATGTACAAATACAGTTTTATAAAGTACTTGATCCAGTTGTCTGACACAAGTTCTGTGCATGCTATTAATGTCCATTATTGAGGAGCTGGATAGGATCACTGAAGTTACCTTCTTTTGAAAGCAGATCTGATGTCAATGGATGGAGCAGCTTGGGAAGATTCTATGAAATAATGGTAACACAGGAATTAAAAACACAATTTGAATAATTTATGTAATCAGTGTGATTTGGAATATGAAATTTGTTCAGTTTCCTGCTGAATGACCAGCATTGTGCTTCCCCTTTGGCATTAGGTTCTGGCATCTACAAAGATGCTCAGGGCTAAGTGTGCCATTTCTCTGAAGTACTTTCTGCAGTTCTGCATAGGAGATTTGTTTCTCTGGTGTTTCTCTCTATTCCCCTGCCTGCCTTATTCACAGGCTCTGGCCTTTTTGTCTTCTCACTTCCATTGCTTTCTCCCCTGCTGGTATCTTGTTCTCCCTCAGTACGTTCAGCAGCAGAGGAAGGAGACAGAGTCAGTCTCCTCTGCAGCTGCAGACTCACATTTATTGTCAGGGCAAGGAGGAGTTCCCCTTGTGTGAATTACCCCTTTGGGACAGCCTGGATCAGGTTCTATGGTTCTGATCCACAGACAGTGAATGGATGGAGCCAGGCTGGCCCCCACCCTGCTGCCCTCTAAGCTCACACACAAAGCTCTGAGTTTGTGTGCCAGAGACGGATTTCAGTTCAATACTGGTTTTATCTGCCAGCTTTTCTAATTTTTGGATAAATGTCTCACATGGTATCTATTCCAGTGATTCCAGTGTTCATTTAGACAATAAATTACAGACACAAGAAAATTCTCTGAGCTCTATGCTAAAAACACTTTTAAGTATTATTTCATTTAAAGGGTCTGAACAAGATGAAGTCTCATTTAGAAAGAAAGAAAGAAAGAAAGAAAGAAAGAAAGAAAGAAAGAAAGAAAGAAAGAAAAGAAATCCTTATAAATCTTTACAGATACAAAAGGAACCTTACCAGTGACTTCAAGGTCAAAAGAGCAGCTATCAAATTTGTCCTTGTAAGACACTTCACAGCGATAGTTCCCTGCATAGTTTTCCTTAGCTTTGATGATCTGCATCTCAAATGTATGAATCTAAAAATCAAACACAGTCATTCATTAATGTGGATAATACATTTGCACAAAGCAGAAGTTAAAACATGAGTCTTTCAGACATGCACCAGAAATGAGGAAAAACTCAAATAATGGGCTCTGAAAAGAAACTGGAACCCAGAAATGGCATCAGAAAATTTTGGTTTCCCCACCATTATTTGTCCTGAGCTGGGAGAGCAGAAAATCTGCATCTGCAGAGGGTCAGAGATCACCAGTGAAATCTGTGTGGGGAAGCCAGGGTTAGACTCCACTGCTCTTGAGCTTCTGCCTGTTGTCTTAAACTGATCTTTAAGCTCTCTTTGGAGCTTTGCCCCCATAAGAAGGAAAAGTGAAGACACACCTTAGTGTGACGCTCGAAGGACTCCTTCAGCTGCAGGTGCTTCCCCGCTTTACTGGCCAGATCCATCCATTTTCCTTTAAACCACTTAACATTTGGCTTTCGGAGAAGATCTTTGGCTTCTACTTTGGCTATAAATGTAATATTCCCACCTTTCAGAAAGAGAAAAGAATAATGCAGCTGTTGAGGAACAAGTGGTTGGTCAGTTGCATCTCTACAAGTTCCTTTCACTTCTGCTCCATTCAGCCTCCATGTGTTCTACTGCAAAATTAAGAGTCAGATGGAGTCACACCAAATGTGAAAGTACAGCAGTGGTACAAAGGTTAATGATTTTGGGTCTGGAAGCTTTCTGCTGCTATCCTGTATAAGATCTGCTTGATATATCAGTAACAGTGCAGCCAAAAGTATCAAAATAACCAGTTTTCTTCCTCAGAAACTGTACTTCTTACCATTATGCTCAGTAAATTATTAGATTTTGAGCTTGTCTTGAATTAAACAATGGGGTTTGCTTCTCTGAATCCAGTCCTTTTGCCTTCAGCGTGGAGTTCACATCCAGCTAAAACCAGAGGCAGTACTTACAGCTGAGGGCAGAACCTGAGTGCCACAGAATCTGCCCACACCATTCCCAGCTCAGCCTCTGTCTCAGGGAGTGGCTTTTGGTTTTGTTCTTGGCACTTACCAACACTCACTGTTCCACTCTGAGGTTTCTCGATGAATAAAGTGGATCTTTGGGCGTCATCACGCTTTTCTGAATCCTCTGGAGCTCCTTCTCCAAGAGACCATACTGAGATGCAGAGAGAGGGGGAAATATCAGTCATCCGAGGATGTTTTACTCCCTCCAAAGTACACTTACCTGAACTTCCTAAACTCTCTAGCCCTAGCACCTTTCTCTTCAGATGTCCTGAAAGACATGTAAGCTTTTGTTCACACTGACATCCATTGCTTGGCTGTCACATTGTGTACAGTTCCTGCAAGAGCACTACCTCTGTGGTGATGGAAAATGAAACTCAGGGAGGAAGAGAGGGGAACCTGATCAGCCAGGACAGGCACTGAGCAACTTGAAGGGCACCAGCATTCAACCATGAGTGCTTTACAGAGGTGATGCACAAAATCAGCTCTTTGTTTTTCAGAAGAGATAGAGGTTCTGAAAACACAAACAGCTAGAAGCACAAAAATCCCTACACACTTTCAGTGGATCTCTCTCAACCCAAACTAAGTCCATTGTACAAGCTGGTTCTTCCTCTGTGTCTGCAAAGTAGGGCAGGAATGAAGCTCACTTCTGAACTTTCTTCTTTTCTGCCATGACAGAAGCACAGAATTTGGGGATCGGTCAATACCATGTCCTGCCATGTGAATTTTATGGGATATTTTATGGAAAAAGTAGTTTGTCAGATGGAAATGATTGTGAAATATGTTCAGACACAGCAGCTTCTCTTCTGGAAACTGGGACTTTGGAACTGAAAAGAAGCAACAGTACTGAGAGAAGCAGCAAATGAGTGCTCTCCCCAGCACTGTACCGGGATGGCTGTGTGTTTCTGGTCTCTCTGTTTATCTGGACAGCCCTGGCTTTGTGCTGTGCCATTACACCTTGTGTAAAACCATGGCAAAACTGATTCCTGGCAGAAAGTACAAGGAGAGAAAGGCAGTCAATGCCTGTTTTCTGCTCACTTTCTGCGGAGAGGCAAAGCTCATGTCTCATATTCCAGTCTGAAGTCCAAATGCCAAATCTCCGTTTTTTGAGGAGTTATTGCCAGTACAGAGGGGAAACTAATTAAAGTTAGAGGTCAGAATAGTGTTTCTGATATGTAGTGATTACTGCTGTGGGAATCTTTTCAACTCATGAAAATTTCTGCCACCCACGAATGCGACACAGCTCATGGTAACCATGGGAAAATGCAAACAAATTGGTTTTATTATCCTAAAGCCCGTCATGAATTTTAAAAAGGTATCAAAATGCTAGATAGCTTTGCTATAATGTCTTAGTGTTTCAGTCAGCTGTGGGTGGTGTGCCTAGCACCTCTGTATATGCCTGCTTGTACAATATTTCTCACAGGTAAAGACATTCATGTATATACACACATGTATGTACACATATATACACATATACATGAAATTATTTACACAGACATAAATGAATGCAAATATATATAGATACATATCTATATATACTCTCTATAATCTAAATGTTTAGATTATATCACTTGAACATGGCAATATATGGAAACAACATGAGAACAAGTGAAGGTTACTGGTAGTAAGAGGATGAAGTGATGACAGCAGGATGAGGATCTGGTCACGTGCAGCAACTAACCTAACACGCCACAGGATGAAATGGAAAAAGGATATTAATAAATGGAAAAAAGCTTACACAGAGTCATTAATTTGGTACCACATAAAGGAACACCTAAATATTATCAACACCTCTAGATATTAACACTCTCCTATTTATTAAACAAAGAGAAGGGGAAGTGGGTGTGACGCGGGCTGGCATAGGCGGCTATGCCAGGTCCATAACCATGGTTGAAGTACCAGCTGCTCATTTTGTTCCAGAGGCTGCAAATCCTGAAACCACGAGAGTGGGTGCAGTGTGCGTTACCTGCCAGGGTAGGAAGAAAGAGGTTATGATGATTTTGCTAAGTTTTCCCCACCGTCCTTTGAGGTGTGAGAAGAAGCCTTCTCCTACAGTCTTCTGGGACCTGTGTGTGGGATTCGGGTGAGGCTGAATGTAGGAATGGAATTCCTGTAGGCTGAGGAGGAATGGAACAGCTATGTATCTATCTATACAGACACAGATATAGATAGATAGGTATGTATGTATGTGCCAAATACTTGTCCTGTTCTGTGCAGCACAGCCTTCTCGCTCCTGGTTTAGCTGCTGGGAACCTATTTGCCCTGGTACTTTGAAGCATTTCAACAGCTATAGTTTGCTGCTGTCTAAACAACGAAAATAATGTATTATCTTTTAAAAATAAAGTCTAGAAAGTATTTTTATTATGTCATTTTGGGAGTGTTTTGTCATGTTTCCCAGGAGGTCTCACCTGAATCCTTTCTTTCCGCTGGCTTAGACATCCCATCTGAAAGGGAAGAGCAATTTAGATGACACCAGCTCAGAGATCACAGCTTAAGTGGCCTCAGATCACTGGGATTTTGAACATTGATTCTTCATACAAGAAGATTAGACTAAATATTTGGGACCATATCCATGAGGAACTACTTGGATACCAAAAAAATGTGAACGGCTAAGAAAAACCCCCAGAAATCTTCCCCACTTTTCTCTAGAAAATCTAAATTATTTTAATTCTGTTGAAGAGTTTCTTTAGAAAGGTTACATGAGGCTGATGTTTTTTCTATGATTTGTGTAGTTCCAGGTAACAGAGGAATTCCTTAATATTTGTGTGAGGGACAGTATTTTGATTATTTAAACAGTATACTTATTTATCTGGAGTTGCTTTTGGATCCACTAACCAATATTTTACCTTTCACTGGGAGATCTACTAAAGACCTCAAGACAGGACTGCAAAGGGTCTAGTTTTGAAGAGAGATTAATAAAATATAGGGCACTTTAAAAATTTTTCTGTTGTATCTTTTGAGTTCAGACTGCCAGTTTGGACTCTTTCTTCATTAATATTCAAGATAAAAATACATACATACATACACACAGAAAGCTTTATCACAGTCCTAACCTGCTGGTGGAGTACTAACTGAAGTGTCATCTTCATCTGTGAAAAGAAATACAAATGAAAAAGCACATGAAGAAACTGAAAGCACAGGCGATCATCTGTTTTAAAACAACTACATGAAAATGTAAAACCTGCAAAAGAAAGAGAAATAAATTGCGATATTCAGGAGCATTCACAATGGAAGAGTCAAACTGATGAGGAAAGCTTTGCATAATTCAGTAGCTGAAATGGTAAACCTTGATGTTTCAAGCAAGTAAAAAACAAAATGAGATGTGGACTGTGATCTATGATTAAATCATGAGTTTATATGAGAGCTGCGGAGTGATTCTGTTTGTTAGAGATGTAATCTACAGTAATTACAATAAGAAAGCCACAATGAAATGAAGGAGAATCACATATCTAACCTGAGGAAGATGTCATTTCTCTGATGACCACGTCTGCAATTAAAACGTGTACCACATATGCATTCAGCATTATTAAATCAAGATATGAAAAAGTTAAAACTAGTCGCCTCTATTTATACTTTGTCATTTCTATACTATAATATTAATTGAAAGTGCAAGGAATACACAACTCAGTTTTTCCTCATATCAACAGGAGAATAATTTTAAATAAGGAAAGAATTATTATCACCATGCTGGATTTTCCTTTTGGTCACACTAATAGTTTACTGTCATGAGGTAATAAATTGCTACAAACAATTGTTACCCAGATATTTCAAAATGTTTCATCATATAGAATATGTTGAGGTTTATATTTATAAAAATCAAAAGCCTGAGAAAAACATGAAACTGGTGTTAAATGGAAATATTGTAATCATGATTATTAGAAAACCAGAATAAGGTAACGACCATCTTTACAAGAGTCCCTTTGAATTTTAGATGTTGAGTAGAAACCTCAGAGATCAGTTTAGATAAAAATAATCAAAAGGTCTTAGTGTTTTAAAATCCTAATGGTAAAAAAGTAAGAAAATAACCAAAGTATCCTTTGAAAGACAAAAATAAACTAGATATATTAAGGATTTAATATATAACTTATATGAAGATAACATGGTTTTATACAGAATCAGAAAATAATCTGTAGAACACTTCAAAATGGAGAACAGAGCTAAAAAAGAACAATTTTGGAAAAATGTTAACCCACACCTTTAAAGATAGTCTTTTTGGGCGTTGGATTTTTTTATATCTTGTGGTTTTTATATCTTTGTGTTTCCATAATGAAATTTTAAATCTGAAGTTATCCTTTGATTTTGACCTTAAAGTTATAATTTATCTATAAATTTTCAAGGAAAAAATTCATAACTATGACAAAAAAAGCACATATAAAATATAGTTGCATTTTCACAAACACTGGCAATATTGAATTTTTGAGTTTGTTTAACCACTGAAGGCTAATTAAAAGCCTGTTAGTAGAATTTGTCTACTTCACCATAATGTTTTACTCATTCCTTTTTAATGATTCATCAAACTTCATTTTAAAGATCCCTTGGGAGGATAATGAAAGTTGTAAAAAGTATGACTACACACTACATATGAAGGATTAATGTGTTATCTTGCAAATATCTTTTCTTATTCATAGAAAAAAAAAGAATAATGGAAGAGTTCTCATGACCTGCATCATCCAATGCCATAAGCAGATGTTGAAAATGTTGATTTTTAGCAAAAGCACAGTAATGATTAAATCATGTCAGACATTTTAACACACTGCATTAGCAGTAAATGGATGCAAGGCTATGTGCTTCCACTGCAAATATTTCTCCATATTACATGACAGCATTAAGTGCTCTTTCAGCTCTTTTTGTCAATGATGTTGCCATTGTGATTGATGATGGCTCAAAGAGGCATTTGACTGAAAAAATAATAAATTAATGCCTGCATAAAACATTTGATGTGATGCATCCTACATGATGATGTATGATAATCAAGTTATGAAAGGACCACTCAGTTTTCCCTTTCATTTAATCATTTGAAAAAGTAAAAAACCCAAAAAGAAGTTATTAGTTTTGCAGGGGGATTTCTGGGTTTCTCTCATTTTTCAAACAAAATGTTAACATCAAAGACAAACAAAGGAAACAAACATGTCAGAAGTATAAGGATGAAAGCCCAATTGAATGTTTTAGAAATGGGAAGAGTATCAAAACACTACATGCTGGAGGGATTTTTTTGATGAATGGGTAATTATCAACCCATCACTCCTACCTCAGGCTTCTAGGACAAAATGGACTCACTCTTGGTTCAGCAGCTACAGCCAATTCAGTTTCTGTGATGAATGATTGTTTATGCTAAAATAAAGTCTATTTGAATGTAACAAAAATAGCAAAAATACCAGATATGTCAGTAGAACTATGATCATTAATTCACTACTCTTATCTTCTGCTAGTAAACTTTTAATGGGATATATTTTTCAATCTGTTTCATGGTAAGAGTTTGTTATGGGGAAATCAATTGATTCATTAGACAGTAGGCTGATAAGATGTATTACTCCATAGAAATCTTTATTCTTTGTCCGTGGCACACTCCCATTAACATATAGGGTAATTGTGTTTCTTTTTCTTGTTTCTAAATGATATCATTAACTGTGGAGCAGGCTGAGCTCTATCAGGAGTAGATTCTTGTTGGATGAAAGAACTCTCCATACCTCTAAAGAAGCTAATCTAAACACAGTGTAGCCTTAACATTAAAATTTCTGACTGCTGGCACAAAAAATTAGAAATACATGTCCCAAATAAAGAAATTACTGTTTTATATATGAGCTGCTGGTATCAAGAATTTCAGACCTACTTTCCCCTGGCTTGAAACGTCGCACACAAAATGGAAGCTGCTATTCTGCCATCAGCCAAATTGTTGACGAACTTAACGTTGTGAAGGAGTGTAGAAAACCTATTAATTGTATATTATTTTATTTTTCTATTCTACTGTTTATGCAGAAATTACAGAGCACAGCAAGACTGAGAGTTTCAAATTTAGTTGACTTCAATTAGCAATCTGATTTTCAAAGGGAGTCCAGCAGTCCCATCAAGGGTACTTGGAACTTTGGAATGGTAAATGAAGTACATACACAGGGAGGGGAAGTTTTAGTAGGGAGATGAATGGAAAAGTGAAACCTGGGAAAACACAAGGATGACACATGCAATGAACACTTTAGTAGATGGTTGGAAGAAACCTAGAGGAAAGCTATCACTAAAATATACAGAAATTTTAGTAGATCTCTGAATGACTGGATGGGACCTAAAAAAAGGAATGAGCAAATTGATATTAAAATTTTACTATTATTTCAGCAAGTGGGAACAAAATTATAACATATTCAATCTGTATGATAATACTAAAATTAAAAACAAAGACACAAGCATTTTAATTGAATGAATATAAGACAATGTAGTGAATTTGGAGGATTTGTGCTGATTCACTTTGTTTCTCCAAAAATAAAATGGATGATCACATATATCCTGAATTTTTATATCATGATTATAGATGTTTTAAAACTGGTTTATTTTATGAAAGAAAATTTTATGTTTACTGCTTTGAGCTACTAAGTTACAGAAAAATAACCATGAGATACAAAGAATTTACCACACTGTTTTTCACTTTATAACTTTACAGTGAACACAAAGGAATATAAATATGTAATTTCACACAGACAATAAGGACTAAAAAGAAATAGAACAGTAAAACAGACAGACAGATAGGTATACTCTAACTTCCTGTTGTTAATATTTTCTTAGGGATGAGGTGGAAATGATGGACTATGGGATTTACATGGACTACCAAGGTTTCTTTCCTAGATGTCAGGTTCCAGCACAGCCCCATTTCAGGTTCCTGCAGTGTCTATCTCAGAAATTATCAGCAAACAGGTCACAACTGCTGGCACACAAGTATTGCACAATTGCTGTGGAATTCAGATATTTAATGTTTCCCATTTTGCTTCCATTCAGGGAAGTACCTAAATCTGCTACTTCTGAAGCTGCAGAACGAGTTTTACATATAGCTAATATAAAAGCTAATGTCTAGCTAGTTCTGTCATAATTTCCTTGCTGAACTGTTCATTTTGAAGTGTAAATTATTTTGGAATGGAACCAGGTTGGAAGAATGGAACCTTTTCACTTTTTGTGAATTTTGCTCACCATTATAAAGATTTTGTTTTTCCTGGTACACAAACCTGAAAAAAATAAGTCTATGAAAATACATTTTCCCTTATTTGGTGACATTCTGCAATAAAACAAGAGCTGATAGTAACAACTGCACTGTAACTAACTTTTAGAAGCATTTTTACTGAGTGTCTGGCAATGACATCTACTTTGCTTTGCAGAGGTGAGAGTTTCACTGGAGCATGGCAGAAGATTATCTATCTATTAATATTCAGACTTTCACTGGAATTTTAAGGGAGGCAACAGCTGACACCATGAGTTGAAACTGGGAAAATTCTCCATAGCAGGATCTCAAGAATATTTTTGGTAGCAAAATCCTCATAGCAGGTTTCTCTTAGGAGGAACATTTTTCCTCCTAGTAAATACTTGTCTCCTTCACTAAATTCAAAACAGAAACATAATAATGTATAAGAAGATAATAGAAGTTTTGGATAAGTTACCTACCATGTTTTCATTTTTATTCAGTGAAATGTAGGCTTGTAAGCAGTGAGGAAATCACCATTCATGTTCAGTTTGGGAACTAACATTTTTCTCATATCCAAATTAAAGCAAGCAGAACTAACTGTTGGAATAGCTTGAGGCAAGACTTTCATCTTTTTTCCTATCATTAGGCATGCAAATTATTTCTGAATTGCATTTCCATTACCAAGTTGACAGATTTGATTACTCACACAAAATTTTGTGTGTCAAAATAATTGCTCAATGCAAGGATAACTGGCAAAATAGCATGCACTGAAGCCTGGTTCAGCACTCTTATTTTCAAAAGGGTACTTGAATCACACATTCTTAGTGTTTATATTTTGACTCTGCTGAGAAAAATAGCCATGCATGCCTTTGCCAAATAAATCTGCAAGTATCAAGTACACATCCAGTCTGTCTAAAAGAGAGGATTTTGTTTGGAAGACACCAAAAGCCAGAATACATTTTCAAGCAAGCCATTTCTTGATTTGCCATGAAAAAGCATAACCATGCCAGATGAAAAGCAAGCATTACATCAGTTGTAAGCATATCTTGGTCTGCTTTAGCCTTTGATCAGAATTAAGTTAAAAATAAAGGAGATTATTCTTTTCAAAATAACCTGATGAGGTGTTTGATTTCTATTTTGGCAGGGCTCCTACCAAAAGCAGAGAATTTGGCTCAGTTCCTTCAAAAATGTATCCTCCTAACCAGAAGAATTGACAACAGAGCTAGAATCTAATCTCAGCAGCACAAAAATATGTGTCAAAACTGGAGCTGATTATTGCACACACTGCTGGTGGAACAGTTATCTATTTGTTCACAGCAGACAATCCTCAAACACACTTTTCAGAACTGTAAAGAGCTCAACTACTGCGCTCCCAATGAGGACAGGAAGATGAAAGTGTGATTTTTAATTTCAGATGAAAATAAATCTATGGGACTTTCTGAAAGGCATAATATCAAGTTTCTGTGGTAGAACAGAAACATCTTAGAATGACAGTAGGACATTGTCCACTTTATTTAAAAGCAACCAATGTGCACAGTATCTGAGTTTTAGCAAGCTTGGTCAGCCAGGCTCATTAAAACACAGCTTTCTGCTCATGCAAATCCCTTGTAATTTGATCCATTAGTTGAACAGTCAATATAAATACTGTTGCTAAAACATCAGTCTGGTTTGCAGGATTTTTGAAGATATTAATGAGTATCATAATTTCCTTGGTCTGGCTAAGTCATGCAGAAAAGGGATCTAAGAAGCCTCATATCACACTTCTGAAATTTAGCACCAAAATTCTGAATTAAAGCTCAAACAATCCAGCATCATAACAACGTTTAGTTTTCTTTACATTTTTAAAGTATGGTTTCAGACTTACCTTTACCCTTTTCATTTCCACCCTCCTGTGGTGTTTTTTGTTCTGTGTAGGAAGTACAAGTATAGTTTTGAGAGGATCTTAAAGTAAAAAGAAAGACTTACACAGCATTAAAAAATGCAGGTTCTGCTAGTACTGGAAAAACAACATTAAAGAAGGATTGATATATGTGTATATGTAATATACAGTTGCAATCCCGTAAAACATTTTAAACCTGTGCATATCAATGCAATTTCTATGTTTTGATCAAGTCATTTAAGATTGGACTGGATTCAGTGGATTAAAAAATGGGTTTTTTAGAAGCAGCAGTTGTTAGTCTCTTGTTCTTGGGCTAATTTGCAAAAGCTTTTGAAATGAGTTACATATTATTGTTAATTGGATAGAAATTGGATCAGACATGAGTTACTGCCACTCAGTTGATCCTTAAGAAAAAGTACAGACAGAATGTATTGAGGATATTCTTTAATTCTTTATCATCATCTTCATCATTATTAACATAGTCTTGCCACGAGTACTTGTATTTAGGTTTCTTGATCAGAACTTCCAGCCTGTACTCTACTCCAGGCAGGTGAATGTGAATTATTTTTGACCTCATCTGTATGAGAAAACTTGGACTGTGCTTTAAACAAAACGACAGTTTCCACACTTTCTCTGTTTCAGGATTTGATAGGATTCCTATTGGTTTTGGTTTCCTACTTCATTCAATCTAGAACCTTGTCAAATCATGTGCTGTCTTCAAGGTATAAACACTCAATACCCTATTGCCTGTGAACAATGGTTTTCTGTGGCAAACTTACCTGTCACTGCCTGACAGAACATGGCTTTGGGTCATGGTCAATAGACTAACACTGTCAGGATGGAGTTAAGATAATTTTTGTTCCATAGAGAAAACATCTGCAAGAGCCAGGTGATGCTCTGATTATCCTGATTTCTTGTTCATACGTGTGTAGCCACAGTAACTGTGAAAATTAAAACTGAAACTTAAAAGGAAATGCCACATTCTGGTAATGTGACAGACTCATGGATGCTTCTGTCTGGATCCCCTAAATTCCCAAGCTCCAGTTGTCAGGTTGTCTACCTTGGCCGGATATTCCTTTTCAATGGAACTTTTGCTCCAGTAACACTTTCTTTTCCCAGTAGGAATGGGATCAGGAGATTTCACTGATCTTGGCAGATAGCAGCATGTCTACATATTATTTGAAAACTTCATCAGCCAAAGTGCTCCGCGCTTGTGGCTTGACATTGAGATCTGGAAAGACCTCTCACAATGACTTCCCAAAAATTTCCTGGTGCAGTTCAGGATGCTAAGTTATCTCCAATAAACTATTTATAAGTTATAAAATCTGGAATCTTGAAACCAACATCCCTCTTTGTGTATTAGCACTTGATAATCCAAGATGACAGCATCTTGAAACAGGCAGAAGGAAGCCAGAAGTGACTGGCATGGTCCAGCTTAGAAATGTCCCAGTTTGGTCTGTGCCTAACATAAAGGCCTAATGACACCCTGCTTATTTTTCAGAACAAAATCAGGTAAGGAGAAAAGAAAGGAGGTTATAGAAGTGATTTTGTATTTAATCCTGTGCTTTTAAATAGAAAGGAAGATGGTAATTTTTTTGAAAATGTTAATAGATATTTTTAATGTAACGCTTCAAAGATGCTATTCCTTTCTGTATATAAAAAGCTGTTTCTCATTTCAGTTCTACTTGAAAATTAAGATTGATTAAAAACAAGAATTCAAGTACAAAATATATCAGGTAAGACCCTAAGGGTGAAATTAATTAGTTTAATATTAACTGTACAAATTTTATGGTTGAGTAAAATATCATTAATTAAAAACCAATTAACTTTCCTTACAAATGTATGCAATATGAAAGAGTTCATCACACAAAAATAATATGTGGGTAATTTAACCATGAAACTCCTTGTGGCAAATGATACCTTTGTCATTTTTTAATCAAAGTGTGTATTGTTAAAACAAAGACATCTTCAATCAGGCTTGTAAAATGCCAGTTATCAAGACAGTAAGTAAAGGCAGATTTAACACTTTTAGGGTATTTTTTTCTGTTTGGAATTGCTGTTTAGGTTGCTATATAGAGAAAAATACTCACCAAATGGTTACATTGGACATGTATATTGCAGATATATGTATTATATATTGACATTGTATATCTATCTATCTATCTATGTAGATATCTATCCGGAGATATGTCTGCATTACATATCTGCATTGTCTGAAAAAATAACAGAAGTTACTCAGTGGCACAAGGCAAAGAGTTCCCCACCTTTCCAGCTCCATTAAAGAGAACTCTTGTGCTTTGTAAAGCTGCAGCTTTACCTGAAGCCCTCATCCTTATGAGTGAGTTTCACCTCACCTAACTTTGGCTTCCTGGGACTCAGCCACTCCTAGGCAGTAAATCTTATTCTAGACAATAAATCAGACTCCTCAGGGCAATTGCCTGCACATGGATATCTAGTGACATTTGAAAGAGCATACCTGGGAAAACCCCTTTGATGAGCATGTAGGACCCAGAATGTGCTCCACTGGTCAGAGCTGGAGCTCTTGAACTACTTAGACATGATACATCATTTTCAAAGGGCTAAAAGTTAGGGCTGAAATCAATCCCATGCTTGATTCTGTCACCTTTACTCACAGTGTACTTTTGAGGTGAAATGAAAGGGAGTATTTTGGTAATCAGATTCTGCCCAGCATCAAAGAGGACAGCATAATTTAACCAGATAATTTAAGCAGCCATGATTTACCTGTATTCTAAAGGACATGTGCAACATAAGCAAAGAATTAGTCACAAACAAAATTTGAATCTGAAAAATCAGTATTCAGGCAAAGTGAAGTGAGGATGTCTTACTTGGTCAGGCTTTTTTACTTTTCTTACTGTCCTCTTACTTTCAAAGAGACAATGAACACAAACCATATTATGGCTATGCCATAATAACTATCTAGTCTCATGCAGCTGTTAGTGCCACAGCTCAAATCAGCATTTTTTACACTAACCTGGAGGTGGCGGTGCACTTTCATTTTCAGTTTCTGAAAAATGAGGAAAGAAGACAGATATTGAGCTTCAAATACGAGCAAATATTTTTCATACATTTGGTTTGTCGACTTGAGTTCTTTAATATTTAAGTGCAGTTGTGAAATTTATTTTGCTTCCACGCACAAAACGTGACAAGTTCAGAGTGACAAGGTCAGAGATCTAAAGCTCTTGTTGTTCTGCAAAGAGAAGTTAATGAAATTGTTTAGTGTGGAAATAGATAATATTAATAGAAACATAGAATCATTTAGGTTGTAAAAGATTTTTAACATTGAGTCCAACCACTAACCCAAGTGCCCACTAACCCACTGCCAAGTCACCACTAAACCCTATCTCCAAAACCCACATCTACACATTTTTTAAATTCCTGCAGAGATGCTGAGTGCAGTTCTCTAGGCAACCTGTTCCAGTAATATCCCATTTTATCCCATGCTCAATTTTTCCTAATATCCCATCTCAACCTCCCCTGGCACAAATTGAGGCCATTTCCTCTTGCTCTATCACTTGTTACTTGGGACAAGAGACTGAGCTCTGCCTGTCTACAGCTTCCTTTCAGGTAGTTTTAGAGAGGGATAAGGTCTTTCACTTATAATTAAAAACTCAGCAAAATTAAGCAAAATTTCCACCAACTGAAATAATATCAGATATTATTTTAACTTTGAAGTGTAATGGATCCATTAACTTAGGGGGATTACGCAGAGTGAATCCAGAGACCTTCATCTCATTTTCAACCACACCATTCTGTGTTCAGTGCAAGCAGAAATTAAAAAAACCAAAAAACCACCAAAACACCACAGTTTAGCTGTTCTGAGTGGAATCTGCAGTATGTTTGGGTTTTCTTTCTTTCAATGATGATTTTTAATGTAAAATCACTTCCCTTTCCAATGTGTGATACACAGACCAGGCTTTGTATCCTATTGAAATGCTATCCTTTTGGGATTATATGTTCTCCCATCTAAAAACACAAGAACAAATTGACTAGCTAAAATATATTTTTAAAACAGAAAAGGAAGCTTATTTTCAACATTTAAAAGCTTTAGGAGTCTAGACCGGTTGAAAACAGCAATATTTTTTGGCACTAGCATTGACTTACAGTTTAACTATTTATAAAAAGCAAAGATTAAAAAAGTTAAAACCCTGAACTGTAAGAGTAGATGGCTTTTACTAACCTTTGTCATGTTGTAGACATTAACACTTGGTACCCTACCTCAGGTCAGATTCAGGAAAAAATTTCAATCTCTGTCACATAGAAATGCTGGGATGGCTATTCCTTTACACTCAGTTCTAAATATAACTAAAACACAATTCTCATTCTTCATAAGTCCATATAGTGCTTAAAAGGGATGAATATTTTTAGTGCAAATATAATTTTAAGCTGAGTGTGTGAATTTGGTATGGTTTAGGAACTCCCAGTCACATACACAGATACAACAGAAAATCCTTGTAGAGGTTCCAAAAACAATTCCTTGCTACAAGGAAAGAGCTTGTGTTGTATGTTCTGATCACAGCACCCACCACGCAGAGTGGAAGGAAGTATTTTAAAGACCACCACACAGATTGTGAAAATAATGAAATATCTTTACATAGATTCACAGCAATTTTTTTTTTCTGGTCTAATTACTGACATACTAAGTTCTGTTTTGTGGCCAAGAAAAATATGAAAAATTTTCATATGAAAACATGAAAGTTGTGCCACAAAGGGTATGTCTGGGAACCTATTTGTTTTGCTACCATGACATTTCTCACTGTTTCTGCTGAGAGTAAAAAATTCTGCTGAGACATCATTAGAAGTATGGAACTATGGAAGACAGCATGGAAGTATGTTTCTTGCATGGAAAAGTAATAGCAGAAAATTATTGATTTTATAATTTTCCTTGTGAAATTTAATGGCTGGAAACAGGGAGTATTCTTATGAACACTGGATTAGAAAATCCTCCCTGGCTCACCAGTGATAGTTACAGACTTATAATGAAAAACTCAACAAATATAGCACTTTCCACTCTCAGATGAAAGGCTTATGAGACTTTTGAGGGACCTGCCTTGAATTTTTCTTTCATTTTGAGAGGTATTCCATGGCTTCACCAACACTGTAATGCTGCTCAGCAATCACACATCTTACAAGTCCTGCACCACCCAGCACAGATGTTAGCCAAAGTCTACAGCACAGACCAGACCTGAAACATTATTATTATTATTATAGTCTAAACCTCATCTCATGCACACAGACAGCAAAAGGAGGCATTCAAAACCTGAGCACTCTCACAGGCAACCTCCTCTTTTGGACCCTGCTCCTCGCAGAGGTCTTGGACTACACCTTCTCCAAAGGTCGATTTCCAAAGGTCCTTTCCAATCTCAGCTATTCTGCAATTCTGTGATGGGACAATGACTGAAGCCAGACCAAGAAGTCAGTGGTTTGTTTCCTAAACCATAATTCAAGGCTGTTCAGGTTACTGCTAAGAAAACTGAGGCAAGAATGGAGTTCAAAGGAGAGACCTGAAGTATAATGTGGGAAGAAGAAAGAAAAGGGGAAAGTTCCAGGCACTGTAGGTGGCAGAGACATGGGAGATACTTCAACATAATCTTTTGGCCATGTGCAGCCCCTTTCATGGTCATGCCTGGCTTGCAGTTCCATTCCTGAGGACAGCCAGGAAAAAAACCATTAATAGCTCTGAGTAGTTTCCACCTCCCCAAAGAATGATAGCCCTCTCTGGCTGACCTCTGCAACAGGCTTGTCAGCCAGGACAGGGCTCTGCACTCTCAACCAGCAGCTTATGGTTGTGCTCCTTCCCTAGGAGGCATGCTCCCTGGAGTCCCCACATGCCATTCCCCACGGCCTGTTGCCTAATATGGTGCTCTGTCCAGGCATTGTCAGGGCTCTGCTGGTGGAGAAAGTCTCCAGCACGCAATCCTCTGTCCCTTTGGAGAAGTGCAGTTCACTGGCTTGCAATGATGCCTCTTGAGCTAAAAGGGAAAGAAGCTGTTGAGGGTCCAGTTACCACTGAATTGGCACCATAATGTCAAGTGTAACTTCTACAGAATAAATGAAGCTAACTTCTGCTTCAGAGTTTCTGAAACAAAAGGTCCCTTCTTTGCAGTTCTTTATTTGAGAACCGAGAATGTTGTATTTCAGGGGGTCGTGTTGTGCTAAACCTTGGGTTAGTCATTGGCTGTGAAACTGGAAATGCACCTGGCCAAATGGAATTCTACAGCAAGGACAGGAATTAACTTAGCAGTCCTCTCTACATGGCTACTCAGAAAAGATAGTGTATGAAGTGTAGTTAGCAAATAAAATGAAAGCACAACTGTCACTTAGATAACATCTCCAGAAATGCTTTCATGCCTCAGCCATGTCATGAGATGCATTCAGGATCCAGTTTGACACAGGATATGAGCACTTAGAGCCAAGACATTTTTACTTGTAATTTATAATTATATACGAACACATACACGCTTGAAAATCAGCAGGAGATGCAACTTGACCCATTACCAACAATTTTCCATCTCTTTTCCACATTTATCGTGTTCAGTTTTTCAGATAAAATAAGACTTAAAATCTCTTGCTGTGTATATAGATAACTAAGCCTAAAGTTCCATGGCATTAACTGATGTGCTAAAGTTATGAAAATACTGAAGAACCCTGTTAAATTGAGGCTGTCATTATTTAAAATTTCAATTCCATTTTAGGTCTGGTTGCAGTGGCATCTGACCTGCCACAGCCAGAAGAAGCTTTGGCAGGGAACTGACATAGGGATGTCAGTTTGTGTGTGGTGGCAAGTTTTCAAGGGCTCTGGATTCCCACTTCCCCTGGCTTTTCTGGCAGCACAAAACATAGAAACTCCCTGACATCACATATATTACCTTTCACACTGGAATGCAATCATAATGAGGCATGATGATGGTTCTAAAACAGCCTCCAGGTCCTGCTCTACTGCTGTGCTGAAAGCAAAGTCTCCTGGAGACCTGCAGTTCAGAGCGTTCAAGAACTACAACCTGTCAGCAAGAATACTGGGAATGAGGTCTGCCTGGATAACCCTGTCCATCATTCAGCTCTGTGCTCATGACCAGCTTTGTTTTGAGTAGGCTTAAGAGCTTTCAGTCATTTTGGAAAATGAGTAGTGGGTGGTGTTTTGGGTTTTTTTTTACCTTAGGTAAGTAAAGGAAATGACCTTGAGCATGAAATCAGGGCTTGCAGAAAGCCTAAAGATAGCATTTCACTGTCATTGGGCTGGAACACTCACAGGAAGGAGGAGGAAAGTCTCCTGCACTAATTTCTCCCTGCAGTTCTATACAGATCAGTTACAACCCAGCAAAGAATATCCAAGGGATTCAAGATCTCACCCAGTCTGAGCAGAGGACTTATCCCCCATTTACCTGGAGAGGAAAACAGGACTGTGGCTGCACCACCATGGACACAGGTATGATATATGTCTTTGCAACAGCAACATATTAAAGAGACTCTCATATGTCAAAAAACATGAAGATAGTCACTTAATGCTTTTTGTTCACAAAGACCTGTCACCGTCAACTTGTTTCAGATTTAAGTAGGTGGATTAATCTTGCACACAGCCTTGAGGGATCAGACCAATATAACTGTTACGTAGGCATTCCTAAAGTGCTGACTCTGCTAGTCAGACAAAAATAGACAAAATACTGTTTTGGGGAGAGAGCAGAGCTCACCCCAGCCCCTGTGCAGTCGTCGTGTGTAAGGATTGTCCCCTGTGCCCAGCCCCAGTGGGACATGAGGACCATCTTTGTGGCACCAGGCTTTCTCCCGAGGTAGGTCGTCCACTGAAAGAGGTGGGCAGGGAAGGACTAAGGATGTGCAACAGTGGCTTGGCACACCTCATGTCCAGATCAGCAGCAGACAAAAGCATTGAAGCTTATTCCTTTCATTCCTTATGTTTCCAGAACAAAAGGTGCTCCGACGAAGAGAAACGGCTCAAAATGGTTGGACAATTTTTTGGGGATCACTTCAGCCAAATCACAGTGGCATCAG